TCCTTGCAAGCACGGATGCAGATGGGGGATTACAGGTTATTTTTGTCGCTGCCTTTTTATCTCTTTGTGGAACACCTCTGCTTTTAACTATTACTTAATCATATTAATTGCAACAGAATCTTCCTCGTCTGAGATTCAACAAGGAAGGGAATCTTCTTGCTGTTACTACTGCAGACAATGGATTCAAGATACTTGCAAATACTGCTGGGCTCAGATCACTGAGAGCAGTTGAGACTCAATCTTTTGAAGGATTGAGATCGCCTATGGAATCTGCCTCACTCAAGGTTACATTGATTACTTATAGCAAACTTGGTTGTTTCAAAGAAAGCATTAATGTTCTAAGATCTGCTGGGACTTTTTTCTGTTCATCGGTCAGGTTTCTGGTGCTTCTAGCATTGTGAATGCCAGTCCAGTGAACTGTAAAGTGGAAAGGAGCTCTCCTGTCAGGCCTTCTCCGATTCTTGTATGTCAACTGCATGATTTAAGTCAAGTTTTGATTTATCTATGGTTTCTTCAAAATTTGGCATTCTACTTTCAGGCTTGCATAAGTAATTGAGATTATTTTTCGCTTGGCCTGAGTTTGACATGTTACACACAGGCATTATTTGCAATTGCATGGTCAAGGAGATGGGGTCTTCTATTTCTTTCATTTTACTATGCGCTCTGTTTTAAGTCATCATGTACCCCTGCATGCTAGACATGATGTTTGCTTAATACTTTTTGCATAGTGAACAAAGTCATCTGTTAAGAAAATTGGCCCTGCTTTGAAGGCTCTGTCCTGTTTATGATCTTTTTGCTCCCATGGATATTATATTCTCTTAATTTCTAACATAATTGTGATGTCCAAATGATTCAGACTAATTTTTTTGTTTCAATTTCTTGTTTAAGAATGGAGTGGATCCGATGAAAAGAAGCATGGAAAAGCCAAGAGCTGTGGATGATGTAATTGATAAGACAAAACCTTGGCAGTTGGCTGAAATTGTAGATCCTGGCGAGTGTCGATTAGTTACCTTGCCTGACAACACAGATACCTCCAGCAAGGTGTTTTAAGTTTCTTCTAATTCTTATGTTTTATTGCCTGATTTTCTACTCTAATAACATGTCAAACGTTTCACCTTTCTGTCCAGGTTGTTCGTCTTCTATATACAAATTCTGCTGTTGGCATGTTGGCACTAGGAGCAAATGGTATTCAGAAGCTTTGGAAGTGGCCACGCAATGAACAAAATCCAAGTGGGAAGGTAATATCTGGTTAAAAAAAAGTTTATTTATTTATTTTTGTTTTTGTTTTTTTTTTCTCTATATATATGAATTTTTCTGTTGTTGAATGGATTTCTGAAGCTGGTCGGTGTTTAAAAAGGCCACTGCCAATGTCGTTCCACAGCATTGGCAACCAAACAGTGGTCTTCTTATGACTAATGATGTCTCAGGTGTCAACCTTGAAGAAGCAGTCCCATGCATAGCTCTCTCAAAGAATGATTCATATGTAATGTCAGCCACTGGTGGGAAGGTTTCACTGTTTAACATGATGACATTCAAGGTTTGTCTGCTCGTGGATGCCTTGCAAATATGGTTAGCTTTGTAATTTTTAGCATTTTCAATAAATTGGTTGGTCTGCAGGTGATGACAACATTCATGTCTCCCCCTGCTTCAACCTTCCTAGCATTCCATCCCCAGGATAACAATATCATAGCCATTGGAATGGAGGATTCAACTATCCACATATACAATGTTAGAGTGGATGAGGTGATTGCTTGCTAAAAATCTGCCTGTTGATTTTTGTTGCAATAATATTCTCCTCTGTTAACTGGATCTAATGCCTCTGTTTTGTTTTTCCAGGTGAAATCAAAATTAAAGGGTCATCAAAAGCGAGTAACTGGTTTAGCCTTTTCCACCAGTCTTAATATCTTGGTTTCATCAGGTGCTGATGCTCAGGTAAATGGGAGCAATGCTGCTTGTTTTTTATTCTATGAGCTTTTGTTTGAATCTATTATGGTTAAGCACTTGGCTATTTTCGGAGAGTTTAGATTTTGGGTTTAAAATTTGTTAGCTGCATGTGCATGTAGCCCCTCAGAGACTCTGATTTGGTCTATTTACCACTGTTTGAGGGGCCTTCCAGTGGATGCATAGGTAGCCTAAATATTCCATTCATGCGCTCCACTAGGGTTGGATTATTTGCACCATAACGAAGGAAACAAAGATAAAGCATGTATAATATGCCTTCCTTTTTATAGGTCCTCCTCAGGACCTTTTCTTTTTGTTCATATATATAAGAACCAGGAAGGGTTGATGTTAATGAAATTCATATCATTAATATCATGGAGAAAAGAGGTTCAGGAGAAGAACTGGCCATTTTCCAGGGATGGTGGGAGATGAGTTCGAGTAATCACTTAGGGAATTCTAATTTTTGGACATTAACAATCAGTACCCAATCATTGTTTGAGGATGTTATTTTGTTGTCTCCCAACAATTTGTGATCAAGTGTTTATTTTAGCATATGATAAATTATTTTGCTTGTCCCATCTGTACCTGCTAAAAATGTGTCGCTATTGAAATCCTCATATCAGATGACGATGCGTCCATTCATGTGTAAACTAGCATTTTTATTTGTGGTGCCAATCATCATAATAGCTACTTTCTGCAGCTTTGCATCTGGAGCATTGATACATGGGAGAAAAGAAAATCAGTTGCAATTCAAATTCCAACAGGAAAGTCGCCTACTGGTGACACCCGTGTACAGTTCCATTCTGATCAGATTCGCTTGCTTGTGGTTCACGAGACTCAGTTAGCAATATATGATGCCTCCAAGATGGAGCTTATCCGTCAGGTACGAGGTTTGACGTAAATATTTATTTTTGTTTGCTTTAAGCCGATTCAGTGATGACATCGACATTCTTTTGATTTTCCTTTGCAGTGGGTACCACAAGATGCCATTTCTGCACCTATATCTTATGCAGCCTACTCTTGCAACAGCCAATTAATTTATGCTACATTTTGTGATGGTAACATTGGAGTTTTTGATGCTGATAGCCTGAGACTTAGATGCCGAATCGCTCCCTCAGCATATATGGGGTATGTGGTCTATTGCATGCCTTGTACCTGACTTCTCACCTGCTATTCCTCTCTCGACTAGTAGCATTCTACGGCCCATATTCTCATTAATTTTACTTGCATCCTGGATGAAACTACATCAAACTCTCAACAAATATCTATATGCTCTTCATTTGGCTTTCTTTTCAAGTATTCGAAAGTTGCAAGGTGCATTTTTTTGACGTCATGTTGATTTTCGCTATATTATTTTGTAGAAGCCAAACTGTTCACCCGCTAGTTGTTGCTACACATCCACTTGATCCCAACCAGTTAGCTGTTGGGTTGACAGATGGGTCTGTTAAAGTGATAGAACCCATAGAATCAGAAGGGAAGTGGGGATCGAGTCCACCTGTCGATAATGGGGTGCTAAATGGTCGCACAACATCATCTTCTACTACAAGCAACCACACGCCTGATCAGTTGCAAAGATGAGAGTCCTTGCATTGTATTGTATTTGCTTAGGTGGCATCTGTAATTCATCAACATAGAATTTAGGTCTTTAGTCTCTCATATGTCCCTCCCTTATCGAAGGTAAGATCGGACATCGATGATGATTAGATACACACATCGATGATTAGATACACACATTCTTGTATACTTGTCTAGTTAGCTGTAGTTATTTGATTTTTTGTCTTTTTTCTTTTTAAATTTCTCTTACTGATTTGCTCTCTTGAACAGTTCTTGTATTGATAATTTCTGTTTCTTTTCTTAATAAACTCGATTGTGATTGTAAACATGGTTGATGTGTATCATCATGCAAAGAGAGCCAGGAGGGAAATCTTGAAGTTGAAAAACTCGATCAGTGTTAAAAGCATCACTTGTTTTAGTTCTCGTCTTTATTTTCTTTGTTAGAATCTTGAATTCTGACTCAGACGGGTAAAATTTTGATAGTCATGAATCAAGATAGGTAGAGTGCTGTAAATTTCAATAATCAAGAAACTCCTGCCGTTCGGACAATTAATTTTTCTCCCTAGTTCATTCAAAATTATTTTCCAAAACTCAGAAGGTCCCCCCACCCCCATACCCCCGGCGGGTGTTCACTTTGCAAGAAAATACAAGAAAAACCCAGTCTTTTAGTTATGAAAAAGAAGACGGCATGAACTCAGCTTATAAAGAACAAATCAATCAACCATCAGGGGGTGATACGGCGGCAAAGACTTGGTATCAAGGGGTTTGCTTCCTTTGAGGTCTCGGGTTCGAGTCCCGATTGCTCCATTTGGTGGTCACTAGAGGCTTATATGGTCATTAACTTTAGGATCTACGGGATTAGTCGAAGTGCGCATAAGTTGGCATAGACATCCGTGTTATCAAAGAAAAAAAAAAAAAAAAAAGAACAAATCAACCAACTTGATTTTCCTGAAAGGAAAAAAATAGATTGAATTATTTGAATCCATCACCCTTGTTAATTTAATTGGTCACAATCTACGTGGACTTGGTCTCTCCATGTATCAATTTTGCAAACTAAACTTTGCACCATTTGTTTTTTTAAATCTAAATACTAATGTTCTGGAGTAAATTCTTATACATCCAGACTATTTTAAAATTTTAACAAATTTTTCATGCACCATTTCATAACGCCAGAAATAAATTCTCATATCGAAACTAATATGTGGGAAAACTCATTTTATTAAATCAACAACTATCCAAAAAGAAAAATAATATATTTACCATTTTAGGTTACATTTTAAGCATTTTGTTCATCCAAGATTGGATCTCCATGTTTCCTTCATGGGCCAACCTGTATAGGGCCCTATTCTTTTAGGACTCTCTAGCCTTTTATCTTATAGCCCTTTGATAAAAACGCACCGTCTCTCACCCTTCTTAGTTTCTTCTCCAATCGGTCGCCCTTTTAGGGTTTCTCTCTCTCTCTCCCCGAAAAACCTCTCAATCTCCATCAAAATTCTTCAAATCCAATGGCGAATCGAACAGATCCAACAGCGAAGAGCATAAGAGGGACAAACCCACAAAACCTTGTTGAGAAAATCCTGCGGTCCAAAATCTATCAACACACGTACTGGAAAGAACAATGTTTTGGATTAACAGCAGAGACATTGGTCGATAAAGCGATGGAACTCGACCATTTAGGGGGTACATTCGGTGGTAATCGTAAACCGACACCGTTTATGTGTTTGGTTATGAAAATGTTGCAAATTCAGCCTGAGAAAGATATTGTTGTTGAATTTATTAAAAACGAAGATTACAAGTAAGTAAAGTCTGTTTGTTTTTTTTTTTTTTTTTAATTTCTAATCTCTAATTTATCTGTTAACTGCATTTGGGTTTTGCTTTGAATTGATTTCATCCCGATTTAAAGTTAATTACTTTTTTTTGTTTAATTACTATTTTTTGCTACTTCCTCTCAATTGTGATTATCACTTATTAAGTTTGGAGGGTTTTTATTTATTTATTTAATTTGGTTGATTAGATAGTTGAATCTGAAGGAAAGATGAAGTTGGGGTTGGTTTATGGAGAAAATGAATTGAGTCTTGTAACTTTTGGTATTGCGGAAAAAAAGAAGAAAGAAGCATTAAATTGAATTTCTGTTTTCTTTAGCTTCTATGGTTTTTGTTTAGTTTGCTATTAAAAAAGTACGGAATATAAATTAATGGAAATAAGGTAATATAGGAAAAGATTAATTTTTTGTTTTGTTTTTTTAGTAATGTTTGTTGTATTGGAGGTTACTAAATTTTATGTCTCTTTGCTTGTTGAGATACTGGCGATGAAAGGAGAGTTGAGAAACTTTGTGTTTTTAGAATTTGTACTTGGTTTTGATGTTTAATTTATTTATTTTTACTCTGTTTTTTTTGCTATTCTGTGTTTTATATTTTACAGTTCTCAATTTTTGTACTCAGTTTTAACTGGACATTCATTGTCTTGGTGCAGATATGTGCGTGTGCTTGGTGCTTTTTATCTGCGACTTACTGGGACTGATATAGATGTGTATCGTTACTTAGAGCCTTTGTACAATGACTATCGAAAGTTGAGGCAAAAACTACCTGATGGAAGTAAGCTCCTTAAACCCTTTTCTTTTGATAGCTTTCACATCACAACTTTTTTGAAGTATTTTGTGTGTTGAGGCTTCTGCTTAGATGATTTTACTGACTTATTTGTCGAAATCTATTTATCAGGATTCGCTTTGACTCACATGGATGAAGTTATAGATGAGCTTTTGACAAAAGACTATTCTTGTGATGTTGCGATGCCACGTATTAAGAAAAGGTAACTTTTCTAGAACTCACTCAAGGAATTTTTATCTGGTAATTGAACAGGGTAGACGATATTTGACACTGTTTTATGTTCTATTGCCTTAGGATATATAACTTCTGAACTGTGAATGAATGGGTTTTTGTTTGTGTAATTTTGGCTTTATTTCATTGAAATCCATATTTTTGCTTCTATATCAATTCTATGAAGATTTGTGGCTGACCCTTTCGGTAATTGTCAGATGGACTCTTGAATCACTTGGTGCACTTGAACCTAGAAAGAGTGTGTTGGAAGATGATTTTGAAGAGGAGGAAGAGCGAGAGGAGAATGAGCAACTTGATGGATTTGACAATGGTGTTGATGAACGGGTATCCTTCGTTCTAATTTGAACAATATTTTAATTTTTCTTTCTTTCATTTCTTTCTTCCAAATTACATTGCATATTGTTATTATTTATCATTTTATGTATTATTTACAGGACTATTACCATGAGAGAAGCCCTGCAAGGGAAAGGGATAGGGACAGGGATAGACGACGCGATAGTCACAGACACAGGTAAGAGGCTTGCTCATCCTGGCTCCTGATTTCTCATATAATGTCACAGGAGTGTCTGCTGAAAAAAACATTTCTCTCTCTAGTAACTCGGCAATTTCTTATTTTTATCGTGGAATTTTTTTAGGCAAGGAACCACAGTGTTTATTTGTTTCTTGGTTGAATTCCATAGACCTTTGGAACTTTAATATTGAGGTTCTCTTTTACATGCTTGGTTTCAACTTAGACTAAAATGCTGAGTTTCATTCCAGTGTGTTGAAAGCTTTTGGAGCTTCATAACTTTCTTAACGCATGAATGGATATGAGGCAGAATTAGGAGTTTTCCTCTTTGTGAATCAACTACAAAACCATTATGGAAGCTGTTGTCCAACAATTAAACCAATTCATTCATATGTAAAGTAAAATTTTGCTACATTTTTTCGCCATGGCATTTAAAGCCATTGCTGGTTTAAAACAGCTTCCAACAGTAAAATCAAATGATCCTGCCAGGTTTCTCTGCACTGGCAGTGTGCAGTGAGAAGTATGATGGATCGGACAATCTTATTGTAACTGCACTTTCATGGCCATTGCTGTTCATTTTAATTTGACCTTCAGCTAGTTTTCTGCTGCAAATTAAACATTCTGTTTTGTTTTATATACACATTATATTGAAACTCTTAAATCACTCAGCATGTTAATAGGTTAGGGTTTTCTGTTCCCAGCTATAAAATTGATTGCTTTTATAGATAACTAGTTTTGTTAATTAAAATGCCATGTGAATGCATGCATGCATGCACACGGGCACTTGTGAATTTCAATAACCATTACAGCTGTTGAAGTGCTGTTGACTTTATCTCTCTCCATTTCTGATAGAGTGCCAGCGTATTTTCCTCTCTTTTTTCATTAAGAATTACATTTGAGGTGCAACTTTGATGTCTCTTGGAAAAAAAGGTAAGCTTATGTGTCATTCTTGTTTTTGCTATTTATGCAGGGATCGTGACTATGATAGAGAATATGATAGGGAATATGACAGGGAACGCGGACGTGGAAGAGAGAGAGACAGGGAAAGAGACAGAGACAGGGATAGAGACAGGGACAGGGATCGCTATCGATTGAGAGACGAAAGAGATTATGGTCGTGATAGAGAGCGAGAAAGAGAAAGGGAAGGCAGGGAGCGAGAAAGGCGAGATAGGGACCGTGGCAGGCGGAGGAGTCATTCAAGGAGCCGAAGTAGGAGTCGGGATCGTAAAAGACATGCCCACAGTAGTAGTCCTAAAAGGCGTGGAGATGGAGCAGAAGAGCCAAAGAAGAAAAAGGAGAAGAAGGAGAAGAAGGAAAAGAAGGAAAAGAAAGATGATGGTACAGACCACCCTGATCCAGAGATTGCTGAAGCTAACAAGCTCCGAGCAGCCCTTGGGTTGAAACCACTTAAATGATCTGTACTCTTAATGACTGGTGCTGTTGCTGGTATATATAAACTCTGGTAACTACAGCCCGAGATTGGGTCTGTTATGTTTGCTCGTGTCTTATCAATCCATACTTTCATGTGTAATGTACATATTTTAAATATTTTGAAGGTGGATGGTTTGGCATTCCTTTTTATTGTATTTAATTCAGAATTTGTTAGAACAAGACAAACTTTTTGTTGATCAGCTGATGGTGAAGACATTGGATGTCTTTTAGCAACCAAACACTGGTTTGTTCCTTAATTATTGAAGTCCGATTTCTGAAGTTACTGCATGCATTATACTAGAAAGTCTTCGATATCAGAAAAGGATATAAACACGAAAAGATGGAGAATCAGCTGATCCTAAGACCATAACATTGTACTTGTTAATTATTAATCCACAGCAAAACACAGTTACTGTTTTGATGTGCTTACATAACGTGTAACTACTTTGGTACTTCAATCACCAAACATATGGAGTTGAAATCATAAAATGAATCAAAACCTAAGGAAAGAACAGACTGCTTTTCCAGTCCCTACAACGGAAGCATCTCAGGCCATAGTTTTAAATAGTGAAGGGCAGCGAAAACCGTCTGTGGTCGCTATTGCAGATCATTGCTTACTATAGTATTAAAGCTAAAATAAAATAACAGGATGTTCTGAAACTATTATATAATCTATGCCTCGGGCATCAAAATGCCATCTTTATCGTAATGAAGGGAGCCAGAAAGATTGAGTGGCTTGCATTTCTCCCCCATTAAAATCCTCTTCTTGCAAAGCTCCTCACCACATTCTTCTCTGCTTTCCTCCCTGACTGTTTCTGATTTTCCTCTGATTTGGCTCCTCGTAGTCTTTCCCACGAATGAAACCGTCTTCAACTTCAGACGGGTAGTGAGTATCCTTGATGGATTCGTAGGCAAGTTGCTGCCGCTTTCCTGTCTTCCAGTCAGAGTATCGGACCTGCCAACACCACTAGGCAGGTTATGGCTAGTTTCCTGTCTTCTAATCACAGTATGATCGGTTGTTTTAGCAGGATCGGCAATGTTGCAGGCTCTAATAGCAATACTGTTGCATCTTGTATGGTTCCATCCATTGCCAGTGTTGATTTTATCTCTGAAGAAGTTCAGACTGGTATACTTACTAAGAAAGCTCAAGAAAGGAAATGACACTTTCAGATACTTATCTGCTTCCCTGCCCGGTTTGTTTTCTCTCGTTTCCATCGTTGGCTTCTCGTGCTTTTCTTCCTTTTCTTCTTCAATCTCCAAAAGAGACTGATCTCCATCATATACAACAGCATCTGTCTCTGCCAAGTCACTTTGATAACCATCACCATTTTTGTGGACCTTAGAGGAAGCCTTGGGTGATTTCTTCTTACCAAAGACGCTAGAGAAGAAAAGGCCAACCGTCTCAGGAAGGTCTTTGGGCTTGATAACCCTTTCCTTCTTGGCCTTGGTATGATCATCATTGTGCTCAGTTGCACAACCATCGATTCTTCTCTGCATTGTCTTGGCCAACAACCTAGGTATTCTGATGCTAAAGACATAAGATGGTTGAGAGTTTGGTGGGTCTTTTCTGGTGATGATATCTCTACAAGTGTTAGGGTTTTCTTCAGTCATCTTGCTTCTTTGGAAGGCACCACTTGAAATGGTTGTTGGCCTTCCGAGGAAACTGAAATGGAACAGAAAGATGGTTTTGAAAAGAGGAAAACGTGGCTTGAGAAGCTCCTTCTTTCATGGGATTTATTGTTTTCACGTTTCAAAAAATGACTGTTAACTTAGCAAGCAATGGAGTGTGGTAAAGGGTAAATCAGTCCAAAAAATGAGTTTAAGGATAGTGGATTAGGCTGATGAAAATCCCATTGCCACTAGCCCACTACTACTAATGCATATCCACAAGTCTCTAAGCACATCACTCTAGCAAGCCACTTACATCTTTTAGGTCATAAAAGTTAATCTTTCCATATTATTCATGCGTTGAATCAAAGGATAATTACTGTCTTTTGTGATAAGTGAAGACTAACTTTCCATGATAGAGAAGTTTTTTCTGTGATTTTTAGTTGCTTTTTCTAGCAGGAACAATTTGGCATTGCCTTTTAGGAGTATTTGGATTAAGAGTTAAAAAATCAATTAGAGGTATAAGTATAACATCAAAAAGAGAGTAAAAATTAGTGGGATAGTAATATGCAACCAACCATATCTATCCATCCATCCATTTTTTTGTGAAGAAAGGCAAACTTAACCGGTTGATACAGCAACTTCCAAGAACAAATTATCAATAACTTGTTTTGGGAAATTTGATGGGAAAATAACCTAGTTTGTACTTGAAAAATACAATTACAATTAGTATTCAATCTGTTTTTATATTTTAAATAAGTTTTTATTTTATCATTTTGGTGAATTTTTTCAATGAAACAACCGAAAAAATTACGTGACTTACATGTGATTACTTTTTCTTTTTTGAAAATAACTTTTTGAAAAAGCAAAAAAAAAAGAAAAAAGTGAATTGCTTATGTTTAGTTGAGTGATATTTTTGAAAAAAATTTAACTATGTGTAAATGTCGTGACTTTTTCAGTAGTTTAGCTGAAAAAATTACTAGAAGGGCAAATTAAAAACTAAGTTAAAATATAAAGAAAGATTTGAAAACCGATTCTATTATCTAAAGATAGACTGAATTAATACTCCTAATCTTGATTAACTGGATCACAATCCGAAATTAAAGTGGGATCTTAAGGAAGGGAGGAAAAGTTAAGAAAATTATTATTTTTCCAAAGGAAGTATGGAGAGTGATATTGTCATTTTGTAGGACAAGCCTCGATGGGCTTGAAACTAAATTCTTCATAAACTATCAAAAAGCCCATGTGTTTTATAAACTCAAATAAATTAATTCAACAACTCATCCTAAGTTTTATTAAAAAAAAAAAAAAAGTGGTAATGATATATGTGGATTGAAACTAAATTCTTTCTCCGAATTTTAAAAACGCTTTTCTTACATCAGTATAGCCCCTAGAATTGATTTTTTTAAAATAATACTAATTTTAAAATTTATTTCTTAAAAATCTCAACCATTCATTCAATTAATATCATTCAATTAATATAAATTTTTTCAAGTTGAGTAAAGCTAGTATTAGTGTATTTTGTGTCGGGTCATTGATAATTTATTTGGGTCTAAATCCATGACAATTAGACCATAATATTGGCCCAGCCCATAAACCCAAAACGAATTTATTTGGGCAATTCACTTAATGGGCCGAGTATAATTAGTGTCTGTTTCTTGCAACACGGCAAGCACTAAAACCCTTGTCAGCTGCTACCTTGGAAACGGATTTGTAGGAGAAAGCCAAGAGCGGCCAAAAGCGGCCAGGTATTTTTGACGCTTCTCTTATTATCTCTTCGCTCTCAATCAATCTCCACACTGATTCTTCTCTAGTTTTCGCGTAAGTTTGTTAGGTTCTGTTGTTTTTATGGATTGTTTTGCTTTGTCTTTAAAAAAAATCCTCTCTCTCTTTTTTTTTTTTTTTTAAAGCTTTGTTTGCTTAAATTTTCAATCTTTTGATTGGATTTGATGCATTCGGGTTATCTAGAGGTTGTTTTATGTGTTTTTGGAAGTGGATTTTTTCGACTTCTATGTACAGTGAAATAATTGTGTGGATCTTTGATAAATCAGTGTGAACTTAGTGAAATTTTGCATGATTGCGTTTATTTTTTTTAAAAAAAAATTTGGTTGGTTGTATGGGAATTGAGGGAGGTGTTGATGTTTCAGACCTAAATTGTGGTTTTTGCTTTTGGTTTATGATTTGTTTTTTTTTCTCTTTCTTTTCGTTGTGATTTAAAGTTTGATACTTTATGTTGAATTGGGCAGGTTGAAAGATTTTGATTGCAACATGTCGACTTTTGCCAAACCAGAGAATGCGTTGAAGCGTGCTGAAGGTGAGTCATGAGTTCTGTTGTTGGTTTGTTAACTTTCAATGCTTTGGAATGCATCAAGTCAATTTGCTTGGATCTTTGTTAACTGTCAATGTCCTTTTTAATGCATCGAGTCAATTTGCTTGGAATGGTGTTTAAACCTGAGAATTTAATGTATTTTATGTTTTAAATCTTAGCTGATTGTGATTTAAAGCTGTCCTTAGCCTTGGAGGTGATGTGAACTACTGAATGTGATTATAGAAGAACCAATTTGTTTCCCCAAAGAGGCATTACTGGACTTTTTCCAGATGCAGCTTGTAGTATGGTTATTGTGGAATTAGGGAAATAGCTATAGGCCTTTTTATTTTCCACTTTGTCGTCATATGTTTGTTCATGAGATTTTGACATATATGTGATTGTAACTGCCCAATTTCCGTGATGCATTTTTGATTGAGTTTTATGATGTATGGTTGTAGAGTTGATAAATGTTGGCCAGAAGCAAGATGCACTGCAAGCTCTTCATGATCTAATCACCTCAAAGAGATACCGAGCTTGGCAAAAGCCACTTGAAAGGATTATGTTTAAGTATGTAGAGCTATGTGTTGATTTGCGGAGGGGCAGGTTTGCCAAGGATGGTCTGATTCAGTACCGTATTGTTTGCCAACAAGTGAATGTCACTTCCTTGGAGGAGGTGATCAAGCATTTCATGCATCTGTCCACTGAGAAAGCTGAACAAGCTCGTAGTCAGGCACAAGCCCTTGAAGAAGCTCTTGACGTGGATGATCTGGAAGCAGATAAAAGGCCGGAAGATCTGATGCTTAGTTACGTCAGTGGTGAGAAGGGAAAGGATAGGTCTGATCGTGAGCTTGTTACCCCTTGGTTCAAGTTTCTGTGGGAGACCTATAGAACGGTTCTTGAAATATTACGGAACAACTCAAAGTTGGAGGCGCTATATGCGGTAATTCCTTCTTTAAACATAAAATGTGTTGGTGCAATACCAGGTCTTCTCCTATTGCCAGCATCCATCTCTATAAATTTTTAATAAGATGCATATATAGAACATAAGTGGACGCATTAAGTTTTTTAAGAATAGGACATGTTAAAATCATTATTTCTATGGCAAGATTGTACATCTGATGACCTGTAACTTACATCTGGGTTATGGTAGAAGGTCAGCATGTGGGTTTATTTAACCTCTGTTTGCTGGATGGACCTATGGACCTAAAATTAATAAGGGTTTATAATGTTCAAATCTATTTTGAGTTTCAATTTTCTTTTAATTGATTGGTTGTGTTATTACATGATCAGATGATGAGATCTGAATATTGATGCTGGCCAACTTCTGCTCATTGCATTTTTGAGGTTTTTTTTTTTTTTTTTTTTTTTTCTATTGACAATCAAAAGCATTTGGATTTTTTTTTTTTTTCACTCATGTTGCTTCCTCTTCTCTCCAAGTACTAGCTATCTCAAAAAATTTTATTATACGGCAAAGCAGAAATAAAATTTTACTGAACTCAAGTTGTTGTATGTAGATGACAGCCCACCGAGCCTTCCAATTCTGTAAGCAATACAAACGTACAACAGAATTTAGGCGGTTGTGTGAGATCATCAGGAACCATTTAGCGAACCTCAACAAATATAGAGATCAAAGGGATCGACCTGATCTGTCAGCCCCAGAGAGCTTGCAGCTGTATCTTGATACACGATTTGAGCAGCTAAAAGTAGCTACTGAGCTTGAACTGTGGCAGGTATGCATATTGCTTTATATAATTTGCATACATGGTAGTTTTGTATCCGTAGTTTCACGTGGAAGGTGTTTTTATATTCCCTTTCCATTCACTTCCCCAACTTTCATGTGCAGGAAGCTTTTCGATCCATTGAAGACATTCATGGATTAATGTGTATGGTAAAAAAAACTCCCAAGGCATCCTTGATGGTGGTTTATTATGCCAAGCTAACAGAGATTTTCTGGATTTCTTCAAGTCATCTTTACCATGCTTATGCATGGTTAAAGCTTTTTCGCTTCAGAAAAGCTTCAATAAAAACTTAAGCCAAAAAGATTTGCAGATGATAGCATCATCTGTTGTCTTGGCTGCTCTAGCAGTGGCCCCTTACGATCACACACATGGTGCATCTCATTTGGAACTTGAAAATGAGAAAGAGCGGAATTTGCGGATGGCTAATCTTATAGGTTTCAATCTCGACCTGAAACCTGAGAGTAGAGAAGTGGTAATGCATTTTATTCACCTGCATTTACTTTCATGGTGTATCTTTTTTAATTTCTCTAACAGTTCTATTTCCATGATGTGTTTTTATGCAGCTTTCAAGGTCATCCCTTCTTTCAGAACTGGTAAGTTTGAAGTGATGGTTTCTCGCTATCTATTTTTGTTCTTTGTGCTCAATCGATATGGATTTTCTTGTTAAAAAAAAAAAAAAGAATGGAGAGATCACAGTGCATGCTTTCAAGCATGGTCTTTTTTGTCATTTAAGGATGAAAATAAATGCTAAATTTTCCTTATTTCCATGAGAAATTTAACTGAAATTCATATGTCACAGTTCTATAGTGCAGCAAATTGTTATAACATGGGTTTTGAAGCGATGTTCGCATTGTATGTTTTGTTTCCTGTGAAAACATATGAAATGTCTGATTTCGACATTGTTCTCAGGTATCCAAAGGTGTAATGAGCTGTGCAACTCAGGAAGTAAAAGATCTTTACCATCTGTTGGAGCACGAATTTCTACCTTTAGATCTTGCGGCAAAGGTTCAACCTTTGCTATCCAAAATTTCCAAACTTGGGGGAAAACTTGCCTCAGCTTCTTCTGTGCCTGAAGTGCAACTCTCCAAGTATGTTCCTGCCCTTGAGAAGCTTGCTGCACTGAGGTTGCTTCAACAGGTAGACTATTTTGTCTGCTTTACCTGTTCTTTTGGAGTTTATTTCAATATAATTTATTCACTCCTTTTCTCTGGTCATATGTGCTTGTCAATGCCTTTTCAGGTGTCTCGGGTTTATCAGACTATGAAAATTGAGAGTTTGTCTCAGATGATCCCCTTTTTTGATTTCTCTGCTGTGGAGAAGATTTCAGTTGATGCTGTGAAACATAATTTCATAGCTATGAAAGTAGACCATATGAAGCAAGTTGTATTGTTTGACACTCCGGTATGCTTCATTTTCTACAGCGTTTCTAATAATGTATTATATATTTACTCTATCCCTCCCTCCATGTCCCTTTCGTGAATTCCATCTCTGAAATGTTGATACTACTGTCTAACTGGAGTCACTCTGCATCACTTCTGTTGGAAAAAAGTATATTGTGCTTGCATCTTGGCTAGTTGCTTGCATTGATTCATTCCAAATGGTCTGTCTTGCCGGGACTGGTGAGAAACACCAAAACAGAGTTTGACTGCATTCATTGGGTGACTGTTTCAGGGTCTTGAATCTGATGGGCTGCGAGATCACTTGACTGTTTTTGCTGATTCCTTAAATAAAGCAAGGGCTATGATTTATCCTCCATTAAACAAATCATCAAAGCTGGGTGATATTTTACCCGGACTAGGGGAGACTATTGACAAGGAACACAAGAGACTTCTTGCTCGGAAATCCATTATTGAAAAGAGAAAGGAAGAACAAGAACGTCAACTTTTGGAAATGGTAGCGCCATCTAAACTGCTGCCTCAGTAGATAGCTTACATATTGATCAATTTTCATGGTCTTCATTCTTCTTATATCAATCTCTTGCTTTCCAGGAACGAGAGGAGGAGTCGAGGAGGCTGAAGCAGCAGAAGATTACAGAAGAGGCAGAACAGAAGAGGCGTGCAGCTGAGTATGAGGAGAGGAACAAACAAAGGATCCTCCGGGAAATTGAGGAGCGTGAACTTGAAGAAGCACAAGCTTTGCTTGAGGAACAAGAGAAGCGCAGTAAAAGGAAAGGAGGAAAGAAGCCAATCTTAGAAGGAGTGAGTTTAAATCTTGTCTCGTTTACTTTTCATTAATTAGGGAGCTGTGCTTAACATGACAATTTATCTCTACACAGGAGAAAGTGACGAAACAAATTTTAATGGAAAGGGCTTTGACTGAGCAGCTCAGAGAGAGGCAGGAAATGGAGAAGAAATTACAAAAATTGGCTAAAACAATGGATTATTTAGAAAGAGCGAAAAGAGAAGAGGCTGCCCCATTGATTGAAGCTGCTTTTCAAAGACGATTGGTGGAAGAGAGAGCACTTCATGAACATGAGCAGCAGGTATCTGTTCAAGTTTCTGTCATATGTCCTTGAAAGGCAGTCTTCCTTCCAAATCTTTCCATATAAACATTTAATTCTCTTCCCGTGTCATTCACATCTTAAATTGCAGCATGTTTAAAAAAAAGGCTGTCACAACTTAGTGTATTTATAGTTTTGTCTTGTCCTTGAAAGGCTTTCTTCCTTCCATATCTTTCCATATAAACATTTAATTCTCTTCCCCTGTCCTTCACATCTTAAATTTCAGCATGCTTAGAAAAATGGTTGTGACCACTTAATGTATTGATATTTTTGTTCAATGTAGTTTACTGAGTCAATTTGTTAGGATGATGCCTTTTATTTCATGCTAATTGGTATCTGCATTGCAGCAAGAGATTGAATTGAGCAGACAGTGCCATGATGGGGACCTCAAGGAGAAGAATAGGCTGTCTCGGATGTTGGAGAACAAGGTCAGTACCCAATATCTGTCTTTCTGCACATGTCATGACAAGCTTCTTTATCTGAGGAAATATGAGGATAACTCCTCCAAGCCTGGATGTTCTGTGGAGCTATATTTTTGTTGGCTTACCTTCAACATTTAAGCTAATTCTATTTTTTCTCTCATGCAGATCATATTTGAGGAAAGAGTGAAGAGCCGTCGAGATGCAGAATTTAACCAAAGGAGAGCAGAGAGGGAAGAAAGGATCCACCAGATTATCCAAGCTCGGAAACAAGAGAGAGAAGCTTTGAGGAAGAAAATATTCTATGTGAGGTCAGAAGAGGAGAGACTGAAAAAGCTGCATGAAGAGGAAGAAGCTCGCAAGCATGAAGGTAGATACCTAATCCATAAATGGACTGCTTTTTCTTCATTCGATACTGGATAAATATTTTATATTCTTCATTTCTGAAATTGCTCTACTCTGTTCCCCAGAGTTGTTGCTTGCCTTCCCCCATTCAATTATGTATTTACAGTCTCCTCTTTAAGCATATATAAGTTTGTGATTAAGACCAATTTATGTTCTCTGTATTGGTATTTTCAAACACAGAGGCTGAGAGACGCAGGAAAGAAGAAGCTGAACGCAAGGCGAAGTTGGATGAGATAGCTGAGAAACAGAGACAGAGAGAACGCGAACTAGAAGAAAAGGAACGGCTAAGGAGGGAAGCTCTCTTGGGAAGAGCAGCTGACGGGCATTCTAAGCCTTCTGAGCTTCCTGCTGGTCCAGAGCCTGTGGCTGCTGCTCCAGCAGCTGCAGCTGCAGCAGCCGCTGCTGCACCAGCCTCTGGAAAGTATGTGCCAAGGTTCCGGCGAGGTGGAACTGAAAGCCCAGCGAAGGCTCCTCCAGAAACTGATAAGTGGGGCAGTAGGCCAGCCCCTCCTCCAGATTCTGACAAGTGGAGCAGTGGTGCTGCCAGGCACACCACTTCAGATCCTGACCGGTGGGGTGGTGGTGCTCGCTGGGGTAGTGGTGGCAGCAAGCCTGATGATCGCAATCCTCCACCCAGTGAAAGGTGGGGTGGTGGAGGTTCAAAGTCCACTTGGTCATCATCTAGGCCACGTGGCCGCTGATAATCCCAGAGTCAAGATGAACATTTTAATGCGGCCATTTTTGTCTGGTGGTTATTTTTGGTGAATGAAGTGCAAATGCATCTGGGAGGACCCCTTAAGAAATAATTATTAGTTAATTATTGTTTCTAATTTTGTAGACTTGCAAACCATTCAAGAGTGGCACTCCTATCTCTCTCTCTCTCTCTCTCTCTCTCTCTTCCCCCTTTTTCTCGTTGTATGTTAATGTTGGGAAATGTTTGTAGTAATTTGGACCTGTCAAATTTTCGAAGAGTTTATTCTTTTTCACTTTTGAATTGCCTAAACCTTTTGAACAGTTGAGATTATGATTTATCCCAAACGTCATGGATTAGCGTGCCTGTGAGGCCGTGATGTCGATTACCTCTGGAATCATATTACGAGAAAAACTGAAACAAAACGCTAAAGTACTGTAGCGTTTTAGTGTTCATTTTTTTTTCCCCTTCTTTCTCTTCCTGCTTAAGGCCTCTCTTTTGGCTTTAATTAATTTTACATTTTAGTCCCTGTTCTGTAATTTGTTTTTATTTTAATCATTAAAATTTTATTATAATAAATCATTTTGTTCCTCTTGCTGTATTTTTTAAGCTCTTCTTTTATCTTTCAGTGAATTTTATTTTTATTTTAATCCCTATTTTGTAATTTTTTATTGAGGGTATTAAAATTTTATTATATTTCATTTTTATCCCTATAATAAATGTTAAAATTTCATTTTATTTAAACTGTTTTGTAACTTTTTTATTTTGACCATTAAAATTTTATTTTTTATTCCTATAGTAAATCATTTTTTCCCTTTTTGTATCTTTTAAGCCCCTTTTTTGGCTTTTATTTTAGTTCCTTTTTTGTAAAATTTTATTATTTTAGTCATTTAAATTTTATTATATTTGATTTTTTCCTATAATAAATATTAAAATTTTATCATATTTAATTTTTGTCTCTATAATAAATATTTTTTTCTTGGCTTTTAGTAAAAGCTGCTCACAGTCTTGTGTGTGTGTGTGTGTGTGTCTATATATATATATATATTGCTTTTAGTGAAAGTTTTTTTTTATCATTATTTTATGATCTTTACTTTGTTTTGATCATTTAATTTTGATCGTGTAATTTTATCTCTATTTTTTTATTTATCAAATTCTCGATTTGATAAAGTTTTTTGTCTTTTTGTTTTGGGTGGTTTCTCTATCTCGTTAACAAATTATAGATGAAGAATATACGGTGAAAATTTATCATCTAAAATTCAAAAAACTACCACATTATTATTTAATTTTGATCGTATATAATTTTATCTCTATTTTTTTCAAATTCTCGATCTGACAAAGTTTTTTGTCTTTTTGTTTTGGGTGGTCTCTTTATATCATTAACAAATTATAGATGAAGAATATATGGTAAAAATTAATCATCTAAAATTTAAAAAACTACCACTTTATTATTTTAATTACCAGTTATTATATATATTTCTAATAAAATATATGTTTATATTAAATAATAGCTAATTAGTAACATTATATTGCTCAACTTTATTGCGGGCTTTTCGTTTACCTAGCCCTACGGCAAAATATAAAAATATATGTTTTGATTCTTTTTTAAATTTTTTTACGTTATCCTTTTAAATAATTATTTTTAAATTTTGTATTTTATATGAATGAATACATAAAAATATTGTACAACTCACTCCGAATTTTTTTCACGTGATCGTTTTACATAATTATTTTTAAATTTTGTATTTTATATGAATGAATACATAAAAATATTGTACAACTCACTCCGAATTTTTTTCACGTGATCATTTTACATAATTATTTTTAAATTTTGTATTTTCTATAAATGAACACATAAGAATATTGTATAGCTCATCTCACGACAACACGCCGGATATATGCTAGTATCTTCTATTCTAGCAATTTGTATCCCTTCTAGGAAAATTATCTTGTTGGCAGCATGGTTTTGATCATCTTTCTGTTGACTTCATGACCACTGAAATCAAAGGCCACATTTGCGTTTCAGTTGTTTCAATTCATCCATGCTGAAAAATTGCCTCGTCCTAAGAGTGTGTTTCCTGGTCTTAATGTACCCATTCACACCATTCAAGCTCTATCTAACAAAGCCTAGTACAGGTAAAATCGAGTAGAGATTGGAAGGGAAAACATTAAGGTTTAATTGCATGTACATCCTGCAGTTCTAGACCATTAGGTACAGTTTTTTTTTTTTTCGTTTTGGTTTCTGTTCTGCGATCTTGCTTCTATTTTGATTATTAGAATTTTGTCATGTGTGATTTTTGTTTCTATATGCTGCAACATTTTCTTTGCTTTTTCATTTGGGCCTTTATATTATGTTTTTAATTATTCTTATTGTGCTCATTTTAATTGTTGTATGTTATTTTTAAAAAAAATGTTTTATTGAAATATTGAAAATAGACTCCTTGATTTAATTTTAATACATTATTGGAGTAAAATTAGCATGTCTATTTATTTAAATAAATTTTTTTATCTTGCAAATTTGTGTAATAATTAGGATGTCTTTATATTATTGGAGTTAATCAGCAAAAATTTCCTTTCCTTCTTTGATCAAAGAAATTAGAAATTGTGCAATAATTTACTCCAATAAAAGGCCTCTTAGTTCAATATACTTGAAAAAAAAAAAAAGAAGAAGTAAATGTCTTTTATTGCAATCATCGTTATATATATATATATATATATTATTGTCTAATAAAAAGTCAATCTCATGTCCTTTATTAATTTTTTATTTCTATAAAGCAAATTTATCTAAAATTTTTGAAATAATTACTTCTATATATATTTTAAAATGTCTTATTACAACTATTACATAGATTATTAGAAATCTCAATTGTATAAGGTTAGACACATGAAAAGACTCTGTAGCTCACGTCGTGGCACCATGAAGAAGCATACTAGTCAAATGCTGGATGTAAATGAGATCAAACTTGAATTTGTAAGTTGTAACTATACTGTTTCTCAATCAAACTAATCATCCAACTTTAACAGGTATATAAGTGTGATTCTTACTGTTTATTTACATCAGAAAAAAAAGGTAATAGAAATAACTGTGAATCATAATTCACATCACATCTTCTGATTCTTTCATTTCAACTCTTGTCTAATATGTAGTGAAACTAGCTTTCTATTTACATCACACAAAAGAGACGTTTGAAATAGAAAAGATGCAACTGGGAGGGAGTTAATGACATATACAGGCACTATACCTTGAGAGATGCATAGTTCCTTCTCCATCTCAATTGGAAATGACAAGATCCACTGTCCTTTAAAGGTTGAAAACCAATTCCATCAACGCACTTCCTGCAACATCTTCATCCTAGTCACTGAACCTTTCTCAGGGAGACAAGGCTCGGAGTATGAGAAATGAAATTGAAAGATTCTTCTTCAATTTCTTTCATATTGATTTTCCTGACAGTGTTTAGCTCCAAGCTATATCCAAATAGCCCTCCTCTCCTCTTCCAGTCAAGCAACAACTCACCATTTTGAAAACTTACAAGATGTATAAAACCATTTCTATAGAACGGGTCATATTTTATATCCCATTTGAGGTTGACTTTATACCTTTGAACCCAAAGCCAGTTTGAGTAATCCTCTAAGAGCCAGATATCAATAAGTCCATGCTGCACGTGGCACAGGGATAATGCTTCATCCATTTTTATGAGATGCATTTCTTGCATATCCAAATTAAGGAAGTCATCACTTCTTTGCAAACAGCAGTCGCACTGAGGATGGGCCATGCTATCAAACTCCTCTGTTAGCATATTAAACCTTAAAATCGAGTTACGACATGGGAGATCAACAAAATCCCTGCTTTTTGGTTGACAGTGCTGAAAAAGTAGGCTTGGACGACGATGATAGACCATCCAGTGAAGGTTCCCATCAACAACAATCGGGGAAGTGGAGAAAGGATGACAATAAGAAGAACTTGGAAGTAGTCTCCAGCACCTTGTTTGAAGACTGAACATCAGATACCGATAGCATTCAGGGTCCTCAAACACAGAAAGAACCCTATAATCCCCTTCCATTGTGTGGAAGAAGAATCCACATATAAAAGCATTTCTCGGTGGTGTCCCGAGAGTGATTCTTTGCTGGGTGAATGGATTGCAGATAAAGAACTCAACCCCAGGCTTAAGTGATTTGAATAGTACTAACCCGTTGCAAGAGCAAAGAGGTGAACAATCAAGCAGTCGCAGTCGGCGTGCCTTACTTCGCTCATTTGCCTTACAGGGGGTATAAGGGTATAGTCAACTAGTCGCATTAGGTGCATGAGAGTTTGATTGTTTGCCTTACTCCTATGCCCTTCATCAATGTAAAGACAGTAGGACTCCTTTGCAAAACTCATATAAGATGCAAGAATTCCAGGAGCAGCTCTCTTCAGTTGCAATTCAGCAAAAGATGGAGTAGAAGTTAAGGCTTGCCATTTTCTGCACACTCGTTGACAATCAAGAATACAATCTGCTGGGAGCCAGCTGAGAATTTCAATGAGAACATCATTAGAGACGTGCTCGGTATCAGCCATTCTACTCTGCTGGGTGATAAATGTGCCAACCAATGGATCCCAAAGAAACGAATTCCTCAAGGAGCGGTACAGGACAATGGTGCCTGCAAGAAAGAAGGGCAATTAAACTAAACACTCGCAATAAATGATATACATTCCAATTGCACTCACTTAATGCAACATCAAAATATTGAAGAATCTGATATATGAACTTGCATTTAGATAACAAAATTTTTGGCAAAACATTATCAAATCTGCTTAATATGATCCTCATTTCACAAGTATTCTACTTGACATAATAAATGAACAACATAACAAAACTGTGGAAACCAAATAGGATTTTCATTCTAGTTCACACAGGTTGAACAGAAATCCAAGCAAAACAACAAAGCGATCCACCAACATCAGTTGTAATAAAAAACAAAAAAAAAAAAAAAAACAAAAAACAAAAACGTTTACCACAGGAATGACAGACTTTGCAATAATCCACAAGTTTCCTAGGTATTCAAATTACAGTTACTTTTTAGAACTGAAATCTAAACATCAAGCCATCAGCAGTTCCAGAAGACTATTCCTGATTATAAGACGAACAAATCTGCGAAAAAAGGCAAAATAACAAATCTTTTACAGTTCCAGAGCAAATCACTTGAGATCTAAAACACTAGAAATCAAACCAAGAATCAATATTACAACCGTTACCCATTAAAAAGAAAATCCCAAATCCCAATTACATTTCACTATTAATTACCATAGAGAATAATTGAAAAACAAAAACCTCACCATTCACAACGGCAACCACAAGAAAGGCAATTTTAAGCCTGCAACAAAAGAAATCATCAAAATACCAATTTATAAAACCCTAACCCGTAAAATCAAGAAAACCTTAATAACTTTACAAAACCAACCAATTAAATCTTTAATCACTACTTACATCGGAAAGATTACGTGACAGAAGCCACGGTAAAGCCAGTCAACCATGCCATCACGTGCTTGCCAGAGAATTAATAAAGTTGGCATCATATCACCAGCAGTACGGGAAAATGCGCGGACGTATCTGATTAAGCACCCACGCTCTCGATGGTAAATGCGGAAATTGCAGAGAAGATCAAAAAAGAATATCAGAACGGCTGAAGAGCAGAGTAAAGCTAGAAAGATGTTGTAATTCTCCATTTTTTGGGTCGGCGAGGGTGTTTGGTTACGGCGGGAATGGGTGGGAGGTGCGGAGGAGGGCGGGAGGCAGTGGGTTTGGGGTGTATCGGAAATTTGGGTTTTACGGAAAAAAATCGGGCGTTTAAGCGGGAAGTGCTTGAAACGACGCCGTGTATTTATATCTTTTTGTCAACTTGCGTGAAGATAAATTAATTCCCTTTCTCCTTTTTATTTTTTATTAAAGAATAGATTGCGAGTTACTTTTACAGTAAATTATAAATTAGTCCCTCTAATTTTACAAACGTTATTAAATAATCTTATTTATTTCAAAAACTAATTAATTAGTTCTTTGATTAGTATTCACTATAATTCATTTAGTATTACAATATTCTAAAAAATATATTTTTCTTATCATTTTTTCATTACTTTTTTTCTATTTATTAAAAAAAAATTTGAAAAAGAAAAAATGATTATATCATTAGTATATTTAAAAACATAAAGACTAATTAACTAGTTTTTAAACTAGATAGATTATTTAGTTATTGTTTAGAAAATAGAGGGACTGATTTATAAATTTACTTTGAGTGTACGTCTTGGTTTTATTTGTCGTGTCCGTTTCCTGATTCCTTTTTATTAAAAAATAAATTGTGAGTTGCGTTTTGGAGTTTTTTATAAATTAGTCCCTCTAGTTCTATAAAATGAATTGCATAGTCACACACCAAAGTTCCTAACATAACTAATCGATTAGGATTTAAATCAATGAGTTTTTATTATAAGAGATCACTGTCATTGAATTACAAGCTCTTTGATAATTAATTAGTTATTTAACTAATGTTAACTATGGTTAATTTAATGTTATAATATTTTAAAAATATTTCTTTTTTTCTAATCAATTTTTCTACATTTTTAATGACCTTTTTTTCTAATTCTTAAAACAAAATAAATAAATAAATAAATAAGTTACAAGTAGATCTGAAAAATAGAGACTAATTAACTAGTTTTTGAAACTAGAAAGACTATTTAATTAGTTTTGAAAAAAATAAAGGAATTAATTTATTATTTACTTTTACTTTTACGTGTGGTTGTATTTGTCGGGTTTAATGGTATTTTTCACCCAAAAAACTATTATGGTTGTATTGTAAATTTAATAAATTTTGTTCTTAAATTACTGTACTTAAGTAAACATTATCTTTCCTTTTAATTTACCTTTATCATTGATCAAAGCCCTTTTTAAAAACCAAGTTTAAATATGTTGAGTTGAAATTTTCACACATGCTAATAAAAAATCAACATGTTTTCAAAAATAATTTCAAAAGTTTTTTAAATCAGAAACTATTTTTAATTCTTCTTAAGCTTCAATTATTTACAAAATCGTAAAAAAAAGAAAAAAATTTGGAATGATCCCTTTTTTTTTTTTTTTTTTTTGAGATCCTAAAAAATCATAAACATTTATCTACTTAATCTTATTATGATTTTAAAAATATTTACATGGTCACATGCATAACATCTTACTAGAATTTAAAATAGGTTTTATTGGGATTGCGTGTGCAATTTTTTTTTTTTTTTTAACAGGGGTGAACCCTCACAAGTTTTATTAATTAAAGAGAAAATCAAACAAGAGGGGACAAATCAGCCTTGTCCAAAAAATATGGAGGGACAAGAAAGTCTAAACCCCAGAAAATATTCTCATGTTATAAGAAGAAAGAAAACTACCTCAACTTCTATAATTATAGAAACAAAAATTAACACGTCTAAGAGACATGAAAACTTTTGACATAATTCTAGCTTATTTTCTATTTTTTATAGTTTATTGAATTTTTATTGTTTGAAAAAAAAATTTCCAGCTTCAAATAAATTAAAAATTATTTGTGAAAATGGATTGAAATTTTCTTAGTATCTATGAAAAAAATTCGGCTCAAAATGTCAAATATTTTTTAGTTAACAATAATGATCAAATATAATGGAGAGACAATGTTTTTAAAACATCATAGTTTAAGAATAAAATTAATCAAATTAACAGTACATGTCTTGATGTAACACAAACTCAATAGTTCAGAGACAAAAACAGTCATTAAACTGTATTTATGAATATTCATATTTTTTTAAGTCTATGGGTGTAGGTAATTGAAATTAATGATAATAACAAACACAATGACATAATTGGCCTTTTCTCTTTGTTATAGAATGTATCAATATATTTACAAGAGTTTTTTTTTTTTCAATTTTAAACCTTATTTATCATAATATGATAGTTTTAAATTTATTTATCAAAATAAGGTATTTTATGCCATATAGGAACCATCTCATTTATATAAATTGACATGTCAGCTTTTTTTTTTAAAAAAAATCATTTTATTAAATAAATATTTTATCATCACACATTAATCTCTTTTTTTTTACTACCGTCTCTTTGTACTAGTCCATTTTTTTTTCCTTCATCTTTTTATTCTTTGCGTATCTTTCTTCTCTACATAATGATGTAAAATAAATTTTTTCATTTGTCCAAAATCCTTACGTCCAATAATTTCTACTGAGAATTTCAGCATCATCCCTTCTATTGATTAGCAAATCCTTTCAAGTAATGTTTCCACCATAAATCTACAACCATGGTATTTATCCTAATTTGCAACCCATGGTCATCCCAAATCCGAGATACCTAAATGATTAAATCTTCGCATGGGATAGCCGCCAGTCACAGTTTGGCCAGAGGCAACCCCTAGACCTAAAAAGATGAAAGCTTTTTATTTTATTTTTTCATTTCAAGAAGAAAAATCTTAGCATTTTTATGTTTTTTAATTAATAAAATACCTAAAATAAATATGAAGCTATTTAATGTAATGAAATTATTTTTGAACACGTAATAAAAAAATGATATGGATGTAAAAATCTCATGTAGCAAAAAAAAGATTTTTTTTTTTTTTTTAGAATTTAGCTTAAAAGTACCCTAGTTAAGGAATAAAGATTTAAAAATATATTGATTTAAGAAAAAAACTCTATTTACAACCATAAGGCAATATAATGGAATCACACATTATTATTCAAGATGAATAAGATATTTAAAAATAATTTCTTATAAATGTAATATCGCACTGCTTAAAACATAATTAAAAAAATATTTAATAACTCAAAAAGATATTGTTCTAGTGGTTAAAGAATTTTGCTTTATTTTTTATTTTTTAGATTCAAATTTTAAAATTAACATCTAAGATAATTGATTAAATTATTCTAAATACATTACGTCCATAGAAAAACATCACACCCTTAAAATCGTCACAAGAAGGACTTAGTTTTCATTGATATACAGATTGGTCCGATAAAACCTTTAACAATGAAAAAAAAAAAAAACCCTAAAAATTTAATACTAATGCATCAAAAGTTTGAGAATACCTTTCGTTAAAACTAAAAAAAAAATAAAAATTTCCAAAAGGCATACACACCTTCTTAAAAATTATATTTCAAAACAATATTTTATTAAGGTTAATTAATTCATTGAATCAAATATAAATATTAAAAAACGATGAAATTAAAAAAACAGGGGGAAATAATAGTTGGGTAGAAACGGCATGTCGTCTCTCTGGGTTGGGGACAACCGAGTCCATTAAAGAAAACGGGTTAACCGGAAATTCGTTCTCCTCTCTCTAAGCTAAAACCCTTCTTCTCCCCTTCAAAAACCTCTGTTTTTAATTTTAGAAGTTTGCATTTTTATTCAAACGAAAAATTCTCACTGATTCAAATCGGCTGACATCAATGAGTTCACTCGCTCTCAGATTTGCTAAGCTCTTAAGAGTCCCTTCTCCTGCTATCACTACCACATCTTCTCTAGGTCTCTCCCTCCCTCCCACCCTCTCCCTCTCCCTCTCTCTCTCTCTCTCTCTACATTTGTGTATATGTTTGTGTCTGCGCGTGTGTTTACGTGCTATGTATTATACTTGCAAATATACAATTTTTGGTTAATTATGCAACTCCTATTTTGGGTTTTGGGCAAAGCCCACTTCAGAGAACTTTGATGTGGTCGAATGTGGTGTTTTTTAGATTCTTGCTGTCAGAGGAATTTTATCAAACAGTTAATGGAAATTATTAAAAGTGTTCATGAAGTGCATATTTGTGGAAATGTTGAAAAGGATGTTGTGAACGGATTGTTTGAAGTGATTTTGTGTGTGATTGTAGGGGTAGGAGTGCAAAGAAGCTCGAGGTCTTGGTACTCAACTACATCATTTAATAGTGCCAATAAAGGGGGGAATAATGATGGAGGGGAAGAGGAGTTTGATGACTTGCTTGCTGATAAGCGCGAGTCACGGTTCCAAGGGGTGGATCCTAGAAAAGGATGGGAATTTCGCGGTGTGCACAGGGTAATTATTTATTTATTTATTTATTGTTTTGAAGTGTTTAATGAGTGACTGAATGTTGTGATGGTTGTTTTAGATGTTTCCTGGAAACGGAATGATTTTCTTTGTGTTTTAAGTAGCATCTGAAAAGTAAAATTTTAAATGTTTGATTCGCTGCCATAAAAAAACTGAAGCTATGATCACTAATCATTGCATGAAATAATATTATTGCAATTTTGTTTAATGATGTCTGTGTTTCACATTGAAAAGCCTGTTTGTATGTTTGGATCTGTGAAGCCTTACATATGAAACATAGGAGCTTTTCAGCTTGCATTGATGATGTCTGTGTTTCACATTGAAAAGCCTGTTTGCATGTTTGGATTTCTGCGAAGTGTTACATATGGAAGACGAGGAGCTTTTCAGCTTGCATTGATGGCTTTAATGTCATCGCATCTTTTTTTTTCTTTTTCTTTTTTCCTTAATTGGATAAATAAAATGGTATGAGAAAATAAATTATAAAGATGCTGAATCTTGAATTTGTCAGCATTTCCATTTGTCTTGATTTAATTTGAGATGTATGGATCTAAATATTAAATAAGAAAGATTCTATTGAAAGTTCAACGTGGTTGATCTATTTGTGGTGTTTGTGTTCTTTTTTATTTTCAGTCAAGGAAAAGTATAATTAGCTCATAGTGTTGTTTTTACAGGCTATTATTTTTGGAAAAGTTGGACAACCCCCTGTGCAGAAGATCATGCGAAATGGGAACACTGTAACCGTCTTTACTGTTGGAACAGGGGGCATGTTTGATCAAAGAATTATAGGATCACAAGGCTTGCCGAAACCTGCTCAGTGGCATCGAATTGCTGTGCATAATAATATACTTGGGAATTATGCTGTTCAGCAGCTTGCCAAAAAGTATATATTTTGATCTTCGTAGAAATCCCTTTCAATTTGATGAGAAGAGAAGGCAAGCTAAATTTTCTCTGAATTGTTTTTTCTTTTTCGGTTTTTTGTCTCATGAATGGATCTTTGGTTCAGCTCTTCAGTTTATGTTGAGGGAGACATTGAAGTTAGAGTTTACAACGACAGCTTCAGTGGTGAAGTTAAGAATGTACCTGAGATTAGTGTTCGTCGTGATGGTATGTCTCCTTGTAATAACCCCCCTCTCTCTCTCATTTTTGTTATCCTTATTACTCCAGAGTCCAAAGATGTCTCTGTTTACATGTCCTTTTATTATTATCCTGCCTCTTTTCATAATAATATACAATGGTGGTGCTTAAGTTTCAATGCTGCTTGGAGATTAATAGAAATTTCAGGATAGACTGAAAATAAAATAACTTCTGTTGTTTGTATGAAGTTGGCTCATGACTCAAAAACATTAGACGCATATCCTTGTATGATAGTAGTGACAAATTGAAAAGTGGATGATATTTCTAGCCTCGTCATGTAACATTGAGCCTCCTGGGGTTAAATACTGCTCTGTTGTCTTCTGTCTGTTCACTGTGTTACATATTTGTTTAGTCCACTATAGCACGGTTGCTATTTTGTTATTTTAACAAGATAAATTGGGAGGATAGAGAGATTTAGTTAATGCATGTAACTGGGGGTTTCTAAAAAATTGATGTCCTTTTCCTTTAAAATCAAACCTTGAGCGATAAATTTGAATGCATGAGGACATGGAGATGAGTGTTGATGTCAATGTGTGTCAAGATCACTGCATTTGATATAGCTGTGTGAATGGTTTTTGAATTCAACTTGGTGTTAAAGTTTTTGGTGGGGGAGAGATTATAGACAAGACAATGATTTTATTTGACTAGAAATTTTGGTGTTGGTGTATAATGGTGTAAGTATAAATTAGTATACTGAAAAAAAAAAAAAAGACTGATTTTATTTGTCTTGCAATTTAACATCTGCAGGAAAGATTCGCCTTCTAAGGAGTGGAGAAAACATCAGTAATATTTCCTTTGAGGGTCTTGGTAAGTTCTGTTTTCTCTTCATGCCACTTGCTAATGATCACATGGCCCATAGTATTGTGTGTTTTGTTTTTTGCCGTTGATGGGGATAAAACCTTTTCATCCGGGAGATACAATCAGTCTTTACTTTACATTCATCTTTGGGTGATGAATTCTCTCTCTAGTTTTCATCAACCTTTTATTGAGGAGATGCCATTAACACTTGCATCCTTACTTGCAGGAGAGGGACTCTTTTAGCTGAAATTCAGTTGACACTTTTTGTTAATCTGCCTTTAAAAGCGAGAGCAGCTGTTTCCCCTAACTTCGTAAGAAATATGGTTCCAGCTAGGCTGAATGTGACTGGCCGCTTCATTTTTCTATCCTTGACTTTGTCTTGTGTATCCATATTTTTTCCTAATCTGCATGTGTGTGCGAGAGGATGAGAGTGGGTGGGCAGTGGGTGGCGTATATATTTCTTTATCGTAGAGGTAATGTGATTGATGGAATGTTTTTAGGGTTCTTATGAGAATCATGGTATCAATGAGATCAACTGAACTGAATTTCACCATTATTTATCAATGAGATCAATTTGGAATGATCTCTCTCCTTTTTTTTTTTTTTTTTTTTTTGAGTCCTAAACAAATCATATACATCTATCTAATTGAATAATTAACTACTAAATATGTTTTTGATAAGTCTGTTTGGTATTTATTGAAAATTAAGTGTTGAATATAATAAATTTGTTTGATAGGTATTATTGTTGAACATATTAAGGCTATATATATGATAATTTTAACATTGTAATTGTAACATGATATTTTTTAATATAAATAAAAATATATACATAGATGTGTTTGTGTATATGAATAAATAAATAAATAAAAATAATTATTAATAAAAAATTAAATACGGTCTAAGATAACAAGATAACATTAATTGATGTTTCGGATTCGGGATGGTAGCACCGATAATGAAAAAGTTTTTTTTGTTTTAGCAATGTGGGTATTAGTGATTGTTTTTCGGTTGGTTTGTATATTTAAAGTTATAAAATATATAAGGGTGATATAATTATATTTGAAAAGTTTTAAAAATCTTTCAACTGAGCTTGTTAATTAAAAAGTAATAAATTTAAAATTTAAACTTATCCGATTAAGTAGATTTTGATTGAACTTAAATTTTTAATATAAGATTATTTAGGCTATCAAATAATATATTAAGTACTATGACTTAATTATCAAATACCTTTTTAGTCTTATTATGATTCTCGAAATATTTGTATAGTCAGCATAACAACTATTTAAAATTTTAAACGAGTCAATTTTAGGATCATATATGCAAATATTTTGAAAATCACATTTAGTTTACATTTGTAAATTAATATGACTTTCTTAGAGCTTATCAAGAAAAAAAGAAAAAAGAAAAAAGAGAGAGAGAGAGAGAGAGAGAATTCAAACTTATTTTATATTTTTCATAATTTATTGAATTTTTATTGTTCAAAAAATAAAAAAAATAATCTTCAACTCAAAAAAAAAAAAAAAAAAAAAATCATAAATTATGTGTGAAAGTGGATTGAATTTTTCTTAGTACCAATGAAAAAGTTTACCTTAAAATATCAAAAATCAAAATTTTTTAAATAGTTTTTGCTCAATGATAATGATTAAATCTTATGTAGAGACAATATTTGTTTAAAGCATAATAGTTCAATGACAAAATGAATCAAATTAACAGCACATGCTTTAATCCACCACAACCTAAATAGTTCGTAGGCACAAACTGCCTTTATTTGTGGATATTTGTATTATTATTATTTTTTTAAGCTTATGGGTATAGATAATTGAAGTTCATAAAATATAATATTAGACATAAGGAGAGAATTGGCATTTTCTCGATGTAATCAAATGTAATATATTTATAATCACAATGCAATATAATGAAATCAAACAAAATTCTTAACTTACTTGGTAGGTAAATTTTTCAGACGTATTGTTATTTAGGATTTTATCTTATAAGATATTTAAAAATTATTTCTTACAAAAGCAATAACGCAACTCGGTTTAGATGGTCTATTTAAAACATATCCAAAGCAATATTTAATAACTCGAAGGACTTGATCGGAAGGTTAAAAATGTTTATATTTATTTTTTTGATTTTTTTTTCGAGCTTTGGAGTCAATATTCAAAAAAATTAATTAAATTTTTATAAATATATTAGGCTGATATAGGAGCACTGTCCTTAAAATCGTAACGAAAAAGATTTAGTTTTGATTAATGTGTAAATTAGTCCGATAATATCCTTAACGTTGAAAAAGGGAAAAAAAAAAAAAACTAAAGGTTTAGTACTAATGCAAGAAAAATGGCTCTAAAATATCCTCAATTAAAATAAAAAAAAATACCTAAGACCGACGGAGAAAAAGACTAACCCACCTTCATAAATATTTATATTTAAAAAATAATTTTTTATTAAGGTAAAATAATTCATCGAATCAAATATGAATATCAAATAAAACTAATATGAAGTTTAAAAAAAGTTACAACCATAATAGTTGGGTAGGAACGGCATGTCGTCTCTTCTGGGTTGGTGACAACCGAGTCCATTGAGAAAACTGGTTAACCCGAAATTCGGTCTCCTCTTTCCTAAACTAAAACCCCTCTTTTCTCCTTCAAAAACCTCTCTTTTCATTTTCAAAGTTTACATTTCTATTCAAACAAAAGCTTCTCGCTGATTCAAATCGCTGAAATCAATGAGTTCACTCGCTCTCAGATTTTCTAAGCTCTTAAGAGTCCCTTTTCCTGCTATCTTGCCCACCTCTTCCCGAGGTCTCTCTATATTTATGTATATGTTTGTGTCTGCGGGTGACGTACGTGCTATGCATTATACTTGCGAAGATTCAATTTTTGGTTAACTATGCAACTCCCATTTTGGGTTTGGACAAAGCCCACTTCAGAGAACTGTGATGTTGTTCAATGTAGTGTTTTTGAGATTCTGGTTCTCAGAGGAATTTTATCAAATAGTTAACGGAAATCATTAAAAGTGTTTATGAAGTGCATATTTGTGGAAATATTGAATAGGATGTGTGTGAACGGATTGTTTGAAGTGATTTTGTGTGTAATTGTAGGGGTAGGAGTGCAAAGAAGCTCGAGGTCTTGGTACTCAACTGAATCATTTAATAGTGCCAATAAAGGGGGAAGAATGATGGAGTGGAAGAGGAGTTTGATGACTTGCTTGCTGATAAGCGCGAGTCACGGTTCCAAGGGGTGGATCCTAGAAAAGGATGGCCATTTCGCGGTGTGCACAGGGTAATTATTTATTTATTAAAGTGTTTAATGAGATACTGTGAACGTTGTGATGATTTTTTTAGATGTTTCTTGGAAACGGAATGATCTTCTTTGTGTTTTAAGTAGCATCTGAAAAGTAGAATTTTAAATGTTTGATGCGCTGCCATCAAAAAATGAACCCTTGATCGGTAATCATTGAATGAAATAATAATGTTGCAATTTTGTTTGATGATGTCCGTGTTCAACGTTGAAATGCCTGTTTGCTTTGGATTTTTGTGAAGTGTTACATATGAAGCACGAGGAGCTTTTCAGCTTTCATTGATGGCTTTAATGTCATCTCATCTTTCTTTTTTTTCTTTTTTCTTTTTAATTGGATAAAAAATGGTAAGAGAAAAGAAATGATAACGATGCTGAATCTTGAAATTTTCAGCATTTCCATTTGACTTGATTTAATTTGAGATGTTTGGATCTAAGTAGTAAATAAGAAAGATTCTATCGAAAGTTCAACATTGTTGATCTATTTATGGTGTTTTTTTTCTTGTTTATTTTCAGTTAAGGAGAAGTATAATTAGCTCATAGTATTGTTTTACAGGCTATTATTTGTGGAAAAGTTGGACAAGCCCCTGTGCAGAAGATCTTGCGAAATGGGAGGACTGTAACCATCTTTACTGTTGGAACAGGGGGCATGTTTGACCAAAGAATTTTAGGATCAAAAGACATGCCGAAACCCGCTCAGTGGCATCGAATTGCTGTGCATAATGATCCACTTGGGGCTTATGCTGTTCAACAACTTGCCAATAAGTATATATTTTGATCTTCATAGAAATCCCTTTCAATTTGATAAGAAGAGAAAGCAAGCTAATTTTTCTCTAAATTGTTTCTTCTTTTCCTTTTTTTGTCTCGTGAATGGATCTTTGGTTCAGCTCTTCCGTTTATGTCGAGGGAAACATTGAAATTAGAGTTTACACTGACAGCATCAGTGGTGAAGTTAAGAACATACCAGAGATTAGTGTTCGTCATGATGGTATGTCTCCTTGTAATACCCACTCTCTCCCATTGTTGTTATCATTATTACTCCAGAGTCCAAAGAGGTCTCTGTTTATATGTCCTTTTAATATTATCCTGCCTCTTCTCATAATAATATATTGGTGTTGCTTAAGTTTCAATGCCTTTTGGAGATTAATAGAAATTTCAGCATAGACTGAAAATAAAATGACTTCTGTTGTTTGTATGAAGTTGAATCATCACTCGAAAACATTAGACACATATCCTTGTATGATAGTAGTGACAAATTGAAAAGATTTCTGTCCTCGTCGTGCAACATTGAGCCTCCTGGGGTTAAATACTACTCTGTTGTATTCTGTCTGATCACTGTGTTACATATTTGTTTAGTCTACTACAGCATGGTTGCTATTTTGTTATTTTAACAAGATAAATTGGGAAGATAGAGAGATTATTTAGTTACTGCATGTAACTGTGGGGTTTCTAAAATGTTGATGTCCTTTTCCTTCAAAAACAAATCAACTGATAAAATTGAAGGCAAGTTGTGGGCAGGGGAGAGATTATAGATAAGATCATGATTTTATTTGACTATAAATGTTGGTGTTTGTGTACAATTATAAATTAGTATATTAAAAAAAAAAAAACTCATTTTATTCATCTTGCAATTTAACCTCTGTAGGAAAGATTCGCCTTGTAAGGAATGGAGAAAAGATCAGTAAAATTTCCTTTGACGACCTTCGTAAGTTTTCTTCTCTTCCTGCCTCTTGCTAATGATTGCATGGCCCATGGCATCATATTGAGTGTTTTGTTTTTTGCTGTTGACTGGGATATTACCTTTTCATCCAGGAGATACAATCAGTCTTACTTTACATTCATCTTTGAGTGATGAATTATCTCAATAGTTTTCATCACTGTTTCCTTGAGGTGATGCCATTAACACTTGCATCCTTACTTGCAGGAGAGGGACTCTGAAATTCAGTTGACACTTGTGTTAATCTGCCTTTAAAAAGCAAGAGCAGCTGTTTCCGCTAACTCTATAAGAAATATAGTTCCGAGTCCGACTGGCCCAGACAAAAAAGCTTTTGCTTTATAGTTCTATACTTGACCTTGTTTTGTGTACCCATATTTTTTCCTAATCTGCATGTGTGTGTGTGTGTGTGTGTGTGTGTGTTTGGATGGGTGTGGGTGGGCAGTGGTGGTGTATATATTTCTTTATTGTAGACGTAATTTGATTGATAGAATTTTTTATGGTTCTTATGAGAATCATGGTATCAATGAGATTGATGTTGAACAGAATTTCACAATTCTTTATCCTTATTGATTTTGTCTTTTGATTGTGAATGAATTCCGCTTTTTGGTACTGGTACATTTGTGGTGTCTTGGCAACATGCAGTTGTCTCATGCATTGTTAAAGATTACTTGATATTAGAAATGCTGGGATGAAGTGTTTTTTTTAATTATTTTTTTAATGCACGCACCCAAGGCTCCTAGCAAAACTAGTCTGTTAGGATTTGAATCCGTGACCACTTGTTGAGCCACAAGCTCTTTGGTGCTGGGATGAAGTGTTAGAGAGCTTGTAAAGTTGAAAGAAAGCCAGAATTGTTTCATCCTAAACTCAGCAGCTTAAGCCCTAAATTGATCTATCTTTGAAATATCTTGTACACACTTCCCTAAAAAAAAACAAAAAAAACTATATCATGCACACTACTCTTGAGGAAATTTAAATAGTCATGGTAATTTATGGACTTTTGGAACACTGTCCTATTCTTGAACTGTTTTGTTAAGCTTCCTCATTTTAGTGTATGCATAAGTTGATATGCAACAATGAACAACTGTTCGAAAAAAATAAAAACTTTTTTCGTTTAGTTTTTCAATCATCTTTTATTCCTCAAGCTCATAATTGACTGCTTCATTAGCTAGCTTCAGTCTTTTAGATACAGAATTTTAAATACAGAAGAAGGATTTCAAATCTTCAAGTTGGATTAAGGTCATTATAGCACAACCCTTTTATTACGATAATCATTTGTTAAGATTTGAGTGCGGGTTTGAAGATACTGAACGCACAATATTTATTCTTTTGTGGATCAATATGCATCCTGGACTGGCATTACAGACTATGCAATGCAATATGTCAATTGTATGCATGAGAAAAATCTATTAGCAATGATTTGTTTCTTGATATTGAGTACTGCCTAAAATATGTTGAAGTATTAAGTCTCTTTTGACTGCAAAGTGAGTTTCATCAATCCAGTATGATCTGAAGACTCTTCCTCATTAACTTAAGACTTGATGCTACCATTTCACTACATTGTTTTACTTGGTATTGTCTGTTTGTTGTCACTTCCCTTTGTTCTCCGAGTCATTTGATATTGGGACAGTTTACATGTCAGTACTCACTACTTCTTGCACTGGTGAATAGCTGTATGATCATTTTGACAACTGAGGGGTCTCAGTTGGGTTCAGCTGGCACCAGTTTCATCTCAAAATTCTTTTTATTATCTAAGAAGATTAATTTTATTTCTATCCTGTAACTTTTTGAAGCTATTCAAACACAATCTGTGATGACACAAGTCTATGATTTGGTTACCTTGGATTCTACAATTTGTTTAAAGCTTGTGGATCTACTTGCTCATTTGGAGTTTTTTTATGGTACCAAGTAATCATAGCTTGACAGCACTTCCCCTTTTTTGTTAGATTAATGACCTAATGGTGTTATATTAAGAAGCCATAATAACTTTGTCAGTTTGTCCTTACCTCTTTTGGTTCAACCCAAATAATTTTTTATCATTTAATATAAACCACTTGAGAAATGGGAGCCCCTCAAAGGGAATGGCCCAAAGAAGGAAAGTGGGATTTGAGCTTTTTATGTATTTTCTCCTTTGACGTATGTTCACCATAGAATTCGTTTGATAACCATCAGAAGGAAAGGAATCCTAGTATGGGATCACATGAGATGCAAGACCAGCTTGCTGTATAACTTAGCATTTACACTGTTTTGACCAATGTACTGAAAGTTTCAGTTTTTTTTTTGTTTTCTTGGCTTATCATGTGTTGGTAATGAGATTAGTGGTGTAATGCAGGCTTTATGGTCCCTGTTACTGTATTATAATACCGATCAGTAATGCTTTGCAGTGAAGTTTTTACCATTTTGTGACAAGTGAACGCGTGTTCTGGTAGTCATTAACTCTATCATGTTTGTTAAAAGATAATATAAATCATCTGCTGGGACCTCATCCAACAGCTTTGAGTTAAAATGGTTACTTGATAAATGTTTGCTCTCTTTCTGCCAAACTTTTTGTTTCTTGGAACTGTGAGTGGCATGTTGATTAATCCTCAGTTTTCTGGTCATTTAGGCCAATCTAATTGCTGAATGATTGAATGGCTGGATGAATCAGGTGGGATTTCATATGCTGTTTTGGATTCTATATGTTGGTACGTTGTGACTTCAGCTAATCAGCTTCAAAGTTCATGGAGATCATATAAACTTGATGACTATTTAATTGATTTTTTTTGGCAAGGTAGCAGAGAGTCTGCCACAAGTGCAGGTCGCAGATTGCATGATACTGCACTAAGCAAAACCGCACTTGGATCAGAATTCATTATTGTTTTTGTTCTCCATATCTTGTGAGTATATTTTATTTAACAGTAGTAAAATGGCTTCATGGTTCAGCGAGTTGCTTGGTGTGAATTTGTCTATTTAAGGCACCTAGCTGTTGAGCTCCTTGTGTCACTTCGTCTTCTCTCTCTTTTTCTGAACACTGGGAGTGAAGATGATGTTTTTGATAGTTTCTTTGCTCATTTTACCATCCCATGTGCCAGCTCTTGATGCTTGCCCTAAATGTGGCAGCATGAATGTTCCTTACCCACTTAGCATAGGTGATAATTGTGGAAACCCTAGGTACAGAATCTATTGCAACAACGGTACTCTAGAGTTCTTGTCAGCTCAAGGGTTATACTATAGGATCCTTAGTATCAATCCTAGTGCTCATAAGCTTGTCATAAGCCCTCCCATGATAGTGAAAAACACATGCTGTTCCTCTGATCTTGCCCTAGGAGGATTAAGGCTCGACGAGAACTTGCCGTTCAACATATCCACTCGAAACACTGTTATGTTATTCAACTGCTCTGATAACATTCTTCTGTCACCATTGAATTGTTCGTCCACCAGCTACTGTAGGCAGTATGAGGAGGTAGAAGAGGGAAGTGGATGCAAAGGTACTCTTTGCTGCCACTTCTTGAAAGATACATCAATGACTTCACATATGATTAGGGTTAGGGTTGGAGGGTGCACTGCTTACACTTCTGTTGTGAACATCAAACCTGAGGATCCCGTCGATACATGGAACTATGGAATTGAGCTGCAATGGCTGCCTCCATTCTAGGGGGCAGCTGTGAGCTATGTCGATCATTGCTTGCTATGCCTACTTTACATCTCCTGTCATTGTTCATTTGCTTTTCTTTCTGTTGCTTCTACGTGTGTGCTTGTTCCATCTAATTTTTGCTATCTAATAATGAATAAATCTAAGTTCCTTTTTCTGTTTTTGTTACTTCTTTTGTAGTGCACATGGATCCTACTTTGCTTTTATATATCTAATAATGGAAGTGGTAGGTAATGTGATTTTTATTGTTTTTTATTTTTTTTTCATTTTAATAAGGGATATTTTGGTTATTTTTTTTTATCCGAAAAAATTACTATAAAAATATATTGAAAATTTAAACATTATTCAAAAATATAATAAATATTATTATAAATCTAGATACAGATTAGAGATCCGTTGTCTAAGTAAAGATGATGCTAAGAGAATAAATGGAAGCCACCTTTTTATGATTGACCTTCGTCTTATTTGAAGAGTAAAAGCAACAATAAGAGAATGAGCCAACAACTGGCCTTCTAAGCACCTCTTTTTGTTCATTTTTCTAATCCATCTCTTTTTTCTTCATGAAAAACACACTCAACTCTATTTTTGTTCTTCTTTTGGAAAAATGGTGCAAAAGCTATATATATGTATACACACACACACATATGTTCTAGTATCGAATATTAATCGATGGGCGATATCATTTCTGAAAATCTTTTGGTTTTTCGTTAAAAAAATTGTCTTCGGTAATTAAAATAGGTTAACGTTGTTAGAATATATCTCATATTGAATAGTTAAATCAATAATAAATAATATATAAAGTTGAGAAGGGGATATCCACAACAAGACTTAAGCCTTTTGGATAGAACTCAATCTCAACTATTTAACTTTAATAAACGCAAATAAAAAAAAATTGATTTTTCTTTTCTTTATCTCTCACCCCACACGTTTTTTCATTCTTTAGGGGGGAAATATAATTTTATTCTTTCAAAAAAAATAATAAGAACTTTATTTAAAAAAATTAATGGTTATTTTTTAAAACATTTTGAACAATTTTGATAAATATTTTTTAATATATCCTTATATAGCTCAAGAACAATTTTAGAATAAAAAATAAAATTTTAATTTTTCAAAAAATAATTAAAATTTTTATTTTAAAAAATTGGTGGTTATTTTTAAAAACATTTTGAACAATTTTGATATATTTTTTTTAATATATCCTTATATAGCTCAAGAAAAATTTTAGAATAAAAAATATAATTTTGTCAATTTACATGATTCAACTTGTTTGAAAAATATATTAGAGTAATAAATACAATAAGGATATATTAACCTTAAATTTTGGAGTCCACGATACAAAATTAGGGATATAAGATTCCATATTTTACATATAAGCTCGTATTGTCCTTCCATACAAAATTAATGAACTTTTTTCAATTTACAACTTGATCTTTTAATTTATTTTTAATTATGATATTAATCCGTACTAATTTGATGTATATTAATTAATTAACTAATAGTTCTCTTTACTGTCTTAATCATATTATCTAGATGTCTCCTCTTTTTCTTTATTTGTTAAATTATAATTGTTTGTGTGTATGAAAAATTTATTAAATTGGATATTTTTCAAAAAAGAAACATCCTTGGTATAGATGAATGACATGGCTTCTTTATGGGGGTGAAATTCACCTCATGCCATGGTACCATACAATATTATCTATTTTAATCTCTTTATTTAGATATGTTATAAAATAAATCAATAAATCAGCCCTTTCATCTAGCCAATAAGATTTATTTTATACTGTGCCAAAATAGATATATATATATATATATATATATATATATATATATATATATATATAGTATAAGAGCACAGAGTCAATTAACTCTTTTTTCATGATTGGCTAATAGACTAAGTATTGAATGACATGAGGCAGAAGGTTGAGGAACTTGTCGGTATGGTAAAAAGCTAGGTTTTCAAGGGTAATCTTGTGAAATGGTTGGATTTTTTTATAAAAAAAGTTATAATATAGTTCATGAAGTCTTTTAAAATCTAATCTCATGCCAATATTAAATAGTAAAAAGGTTAATTATAAAATGATGTAAATAATGATTCAATAGTACTAAAATGATGTGTTTAATTATGGATGTGATTTATTTTATGTAAAAATATAGAATAGAGGATATTAATTGGATAAATAAAAAACCAATAATTAATATTAAGTTTGCAAGTAGAATAGATCGAGAGCAATCCAAGATTGAAAAATAAAAAATAAAAAATACAATAGGACTTGATTGGATAAGGAAAAATAAATCTAACACGTGAAAGTAAAATTAATTTTTATAGAATAATTTTATTTCTCTACTATTTTTATACCTTATTAATGAGTATTATTATCCTACGATCTTTTTTTTTTTCTTTGCCACATTTATCATACAATTTGCTATTTTTTAATTAAAAAAATACATATTCATCAAAAATTTAGATATCGTTCTTATGAAAAATTAAATTATATTGGTGATTAGGAATCACAGATTTTTTTTTTTTCATTTTCATTTTCATTGTTTCTTCTTGATGAAAATAGAAATCCTGACAAACGAGTCTGCTTGCATGAAGGGCTCAATCCAAGGGAACCATGGGCCTTTTCAAAGCCTGAGAATAAGTCCACGGATCTTTGAAAGACAAATCAACCAAATTTGCCTTCACTCATTGCCAATCATTCTCAGATTCAATGAAACAAATTTGTTCAATGCCACTTCTGGAAGCTCACAGCAAACCCTAGAAATTAATTGCCAAAGAATCTACAGTTCCAAATAAACACTTGGGAAGTTGGAAAGAGACTGGCATTGGCTGCTCTGATTTTCTTTAAAGGAAATTGTTTCTTATAACTTGAAATAGAAGAAACAAAAGCAGGTAGCCATCAGTGGAAGCTAGTCCCAGGAGAAAATATCAAAAATTGCTTATCATCATCTCTTAAAACCAAACAATTTGACAAAACATAGAAGCTCCTAATTGCAAACAAGATAAACACAAAACATCATTGTTCTATAGAGTTGTTTGTCATTCCTTTACATTGTATTGGAAGTAAATAATGCACGAGGGAGTAAACGACCGCATAAATTTCGAAGTAGATGCTGCAATAGAACATTTAACTATGCAACCTTCATTTTTACTTACAAATTCAAACTGTTAGCAATCAAACTATCACAAACATATCTATCAGACAGCATTTCTGTCTTGTCAGTCAGTACAAAAGCCGCGCACAAACCACAATCAATACAATCAATTGAAAGGCAAAAACACCTACTCCCTATATTGCTACCTCATTTCGTACACAGCTATTACAATCAGTACCGGAAAACAAAGCCAAGCATGCTCACACTGCCAGCAAAAATATATGTCAAATATTTACTCTGTTACCAGATAAACGCTATGCAACCACTGTGGGTCTGCTCGGCCTTTTCCCTTCCATGGCATCTTTCTTTTTCCGACAGTTACTGCAGAGGAAGGGGCCTTCCCATGGCTTTGATCCAGGTGAGAAGAAAGAGCCTGAGCTTACTGATACACCGTCAGCTGGGGTTTGATCCACTTGGCAGACAGCACATCTATATAGCCCAGAGTTTGCATTTACGGGAAAATCCTTACCCAATCTGCATTTTCATTGAAAATAATAAAAAATGACAAATAAAAACTACATTTCAAGAGGACAGAACGTGTAAACTCCCTACTCCCTTTTCATTTAATAGTTCATTTAATAAAAAATAAATAGATCAGTTTTCGTAATCACTGAATAAGGGGATAGGTAAGCAAAGACCATTTGGAGAAGAGTTGGCCTCTGGTCTCATACCCTGTGGTTTTACATAAACTATTCGTGAAAAATAATAAAAACAAATTTTATGATCAACATACCTTTCTGCAAGAATAGCAGAACCCTCTTCAAACAGTTCCTCCACCACACCAACAGCAGAAAGCTTATTTGTTGATTTACTCACAGCACTCAGGGCTTTCTTCCCAAAAAGTGAACTGAACATATTATGCTTCTTCCTGGGTATTGGAGGTAAGACAGGAATGTCGGATGGGATAATATCAACAACAAGGCATGTTGTATCATCTTTCAGGCCCCTTGACCTCAATGCCTCCTAAAGAGCAAAACCAAACAAGTATTAGCAATAAAGCAACAAAAGCACTGTTGCATACATGCAAGAAGCAAAAGCATGCTAAACATCACCTTAACAACCAACTTTGCAGCAAGCTCTGCAAGCAAACCTCTACAAGACTTGGCAGCCATATCCGAAGATAGCGCATCCCAAATACCATCAGAAGCGATAATGAGCCTTCCTCCAGCATGTGAAAGCTAAAGAACCAGGAAAGAATTTCTTAAGCTTCAAAATTAATTAAAAAGAACAGTTAAAAATCCATCATCAACATTAGAAAATGAACTCACTTTCACTTGCTTGACATGAGGTATTGGAACAATGAACTCTCCAACATCTGTGTCACCAATTGACCGAGAAAGACATAATCCACCAGGCCAACAACGCAGGGGGCCAACCTACAAACCATTGAGAGATTGGATGAATAAAATAAAAACAACAGCGAAGGAAGGGGAGCATAAAATACATATCTGAACATATCATAGGTGACAAATAAAAAAAAAAAAAAAGAGCACCATACCTCGTTGCCTCCAAAAACATTTAGCCTTCCTACTTCACCCCCACTTGCAGTTACCCGCTCCCTCTCTTCTACATTTTCTTCCAGCCTGTGATCAACTGTCAAGAGAGAAACCACACCCCCTGGCTGTCCAATATGCATCGTGAATCCCCCACAGAAGCAACAGTCACAGTCCATCCATCAATTACGACAAATGTAACAGTTGTACCAGAAGTCTCCCCTGTAATTTACATTGAACTGTAAGATTAGCCCCTGCACACTGATACAAACAAAAAGGGAAAAAAGTACAAAATGCAACAAAGAAAATAAAAACTATAATAGAAGGGATACAGATACATACCTTTCTTCTGGAATTCTATGTCAGTTTTAACAAAACCAGCCACTAGTGCCCGAGGAAGTGCTTGAAGCCACTCTTCCTTACTAACATCTTGAGGAATTGCACTCAATACATTATCCAACAACTTCTCCTTTGTAAAGATGGCAGCTGATATCCCATTATGTCCATCAAAGATCTGCCAACAAAACGAATACTAAGAATTTCAATGAAACGTCAATAAAACCAAATTTAAGAACTCTGTGGTTTCTAAAGTTACTCCTAATTTAAATAAGGCCCACTTCATCTCTTGAACAAGGAAGTAAATGATGTGTATGAAAGAGAAAAGAGAGTACCGCAAACACAGAGAATGATGTTGACGGATCCCCAGGAACCCTCTGGCAGTCAGGTTTTATGAGAAAGTAATCCTCTCCTTTCTTTGCTAAAGCAGCTTGTCCATACTTCACAAAAGGTTTCTCGATCTTCTCATTCCTAAGCTCACGCCCAATCAACGTTGCAAGTGGAACAAGAGGAGGTCTCATCCTCGATACTTCGTCCTGTCTCGTGATAGTTTACATGTCAATATTTTCAATAACCCCAGTGCCAAAATCCTATTCAATCTTCATGAAGCAAATTAAAAAAGCACACGTGACTGAATCACTAAACCCTTACATGACAAGTTAGTTCAACAAAAACTAAAATCAACTATAAAGAACCAGTTTTTCCAGGATCTTTTCACCATGAAAATAAAAACCAAAACTTTTGAGCAAAATGTCATCTACTTCATACAGTTTCACACATCTGAACTATATTCTAAATTCTATGAATCAATTCAAACAAAACGATGCATCTGCAAGTGAACTAAAGATAGAAATAGCCAATGTATCAATCTTTATTTTAAGAAAGAAAAAAACATATGCCAAGACCTCATTTCCATAACTTCTATCAAACAAGACTCTAGTGCATAATTCATTAACCACCCCAATTCTCCACTATTTCAACTATTTTTTTACCTCAAAAACCCAAATATGAACAAATCAAATAACTAAACCCAAAATGAGCAAATCTCAACAAATGGGTCTTCATTATTTTCCATCAAAAAAACCAACTAAACTTCTTCAACAAAATTTCACCAAACTATTCAGTACCCATCAAAATTACTCAAATCTAAAGAACTGGGTCTTCCTTATTTTCCATCAAGAACCAAACTTTAGTACCCAAAAACAAAAGCAACCATAAAGGGTTACTGAATTAAGCTAAAAAACACAACTTTAAGCACATAAACACGAAATGTACATAAAAAAAAATGAAAAACAAGAACATTAAAAAACAAACCCAGAAAGGTAAAAACACTCACAGTTGAAACATGAAGAGGCATCAACAGATCCAGCATTGACAAGGTTTGATCTATTAATTAACTCTCCATTTCTGAAGCAAAAATAAAAGATTTTTCGTTAAAAACTATGACAAAGTTTCGATTTTTACCAAGAAAAAGATGGAGAGTTTTTTAGAGAGAAAAAAAAAGACTTACAAGTTCGTGTGATTTGATTGGAAGAGAAATCTAGAGAGAGAGAGAAAATAGAGAGAGAGAGAGTGTGAGTGATGAAAGAGAGAGAGAGAGAAAGGGAGACGCGGGGGTTTTGTGTGTGCGCTAGTGAGTGTTGAGGAGGTGATATTTTCAGGCAAAGTGTCTCTCTTTCTAATAATGATGACAATTTTCATGTCCCAATCATTCGATGTAATAGAGGCGGAAAAAAAAAAAAAAAAAAACCTTTCCTATTAGGTTTTTTTTTTAATTTTGTTATGGAATTAGTAGGTTTAGTTATCAAGTTATCATTTCAGTTCGAATTTAATTAGAAATTGTAATATTAAAATATTATGTTTAAGAACTGATTTGGAGAAATTTAGAATCTATAAGTGATTGAAGATATTTAGGTTTAGGATGCGAAATGGATTTGAAAATATTTTGATAGCCAAAATTAGATGATTTAAAAAAAAGTAAAAAAGTTGATTTCTTTTTCAAATTATATAAAAAAAACCCATTTTTATTTTCTTATTTTGTTTAATATGTATGATTTTAGAGTAGCAAATGCCAATTGGGAGTTTGAAGGTAGTTTTTTAAATCAATCTTTTTTACATTAGAGAAATTCACCAATATTGATTAAGTGGAATAAATACATGTCATGTGGACAAATATAAATGATTTTTTTTTCTAAAATAAAAAAAAATGATGTGACTTTGATTTAGTATAAATATATTTTATAGAAAAAAAAACTTTAATAATACATTTGAACCATTAGATTAATAAGAATTCACCACTGCATTCCATCTCTAGATCAGGATCCAATGTTTTTGTGTGCTTTAATTTTCTTTTTCTTGTTAATTGTTATTAATGTTTGATATTAGATGATGTTAGAGGAGCAAACGCCAAATTGGAATTTATGTTTAATAGTATTTTCTAAAATCAATTTTTTTTTTTTTACAATAAAGAAATTCATCAACATTGGTTAAGTAAAATGAATACACGTTGGGGGGACGAATATAAATAATTTTTTTTATCTAAAATAAGAAAATTAGTGTAAATTTAACTCAAATATACTTTATTGAAAGGAAAAAAAATTAAGAATGCATATGAACTATTAGATTATACATAATCTACGATTGTATTCCATTTTTAGGTCATGATCCAATGTCTGTGTGCGTTATTAAAGTTTTTTCTTATTATTTGTTATTAATGTTTAACATTTTTGGCAAATGGATTAAATTTTTTACTATTTAGCAATTTTTTTTTTTTTTTTTTTTTGGAAAAATGCCCTTGGTTGTTGATTTAAAAAGAACGGTTAGGAGTTTTTACAATAGGAGAAATCAACAGTTTTTTCTTGTTTCCTTGTAATAAGAGTTTTGTAACATAATGAAAAATTTTATAATACATAAGAAGTAACTAGTAACATGTACGGTAGTTACTCTTTGGGTCCATCTTGAGGAGAGAGATAAACATATATAAAAAAAGATAAATTACATCCATACTTACCAAAAGTGATAAAGAAGATTTTCAAGTCCGCTTAAATTTTTTTATTTTCTTTCTCATGTCTCTCTCTCTCTCTCTCTTTTTGTGTGTTTATCTCTCTCTTCAAAATGGATCCAAGGAGTAATCGATGTACATGTCACTAGTTACGCCTTGTATATTATAAACTTTCTTGTACCGTAAGAAGTTAGATTTCTTTTTCACTTTGAAGGCATGGAAAAATTTAATTAAATTTGGTTTTTAAGAGTTGGCAAAATAAATGTATATTCAAATTTCCAACATCCTCATTGTCAAACATCTCATGATTAGTTTAATTACAAACACCATTAAGTGATGTTCATGATAAGCTTTGTCTGTCAAATGCTAAAGTAATCAAATAGGTTATAAATTCTTTTTAAATAATTCTATAAAAAATGGTTATAATTTTTTTTAAAAAAATATTCTTGTTGTGTGTAATGGAAGTAGACCATTTCACATAGAATTATCTGTCAAATATTCTAGAATTTGTCTTATATTACATTAGTGGAAAGGATGTCATATTTTTTAAAAATCAATTTGGTACGTCACAGAAGAGACAATCCCACTAAATTAGCAGACGATGATGAACTAAAATTATGGCTTTTTTTTTTCAATATAGTTTTTAGTGGGTTTTGACTTTTGTTAGTTACTCATTGAATATGTCTTTGGCTACCTCAACAAATGTCATTGTTAGGGTTTTGACTTTGATAAAGTGCATGAGATCTATTGAGAAATAGTGCTCTATGGCTGGCAATAATTAGGTGGAGTAAGAGAGAAAAAAGGTTGATTAATAAATTTAACGATGATAAGCAATTTCATAATCAAGATAGAGCAGGCAAAGCCAACTATTTTTAGGGTTAGATGGGGCCATAGGATGACATATGGAGAAAAGCAAACATGTAAATTTTGGACTCAAAATTTCCATATAGCTGGACTGCATTGCTCCAATGAAATCCAATTCAATGAAATAATCTCAAGAAAAAGACATACATGTGCTAATTTGGTTTTTTTTTTTTTTTATTGTCAAGATTTGAATCTCAACCATCAAACAAGAGACGTCATCCTTTAATCATCAAACAAAATATCTTAAATTATTAAATAATATGTTTTTTTTTTGAAAAATAAATAAATAATTCAATCTGTCATTGTATGGTATTTTGAATCTTCTATTTATTTTTAAATTTCTAATTGAATCTAATGTGTTTCTAAAAGTTTTTTAATTATTTATTTTGAAATTTTAATAAAGTTTTTCAGTTATAATTTTTTTTTAATCGAAATATTTCTGAGTCAAAATTTAAAAAAAACAAATAAATTTTAAGACTTCAAAGAACAAAAAATGCATATTATGTGACTTTAATTGCAACGGGGAACAAAATCCTAAATTCTATCATTGGGGGCAACATTCGTGGCGATGTGGGGATAATGTCTTCGATGGGATGTCGTTGATGTAACCATCTAACCCTCTATAAACAAGAGGCATCGAAGGCATTTGCTGACTTGGCCATGTGTGATTGGGTCCCACTTAGGGTTTGCCCACTCATTCCAATGGGGTCCCAACCCCAGCTGGAAAGGTTGACATGTATCCGCAAGCAAGTGGAGATTTGTTGGCTAGAGGGGAAAATCTATAATCACTTCTAAGTGCATAAGGGAAGTATACACTTTTTTCTTTTTGGTTTTATCCCTGTATCATCTTCCTTGGTAAGAGATAAAATTAATCTTGATTAGAGCTATAAGAACAAAATTTAATTTCTCTTAATAAATATAATTTTAAAATTTAAACTTTGTACGTTGATAGAAAATTTATTTAAAAATCAACTAGTTTAGTATTAAACTAATAACTTGTATAATTTCTTTTATATGATAGATACGGACTCGTCATTCAAGTATTACGAATTTTACATATCTAATCTTATCATAATTAGTTCGTTTTAGTTTATTCTTATTGCTACAATTTGTCCGTCAAATTATACTTTTTTAAAAAAAATGATTCTAAGAATTAGTGTATTTTGAGAAGTTTGATGAATGATGACTAATTTTAAAATTTGAATTCAAAAAATTAAAAAAAAACATTTTTTTTAACTATCTTACCAATCTTTGAAGATTTACTTTTACTTGACTGATAAATACGTTACTTTGTCTACCAGTTTCTTGGAAATTTCCTTATCACCTTTTGGGAAATTAAACTTGGTAATCCTTTTACTTGCGTTCATCCTTAATTTGATTTTGAGAAATTCTCATCCTAGACACTATTTAATAAGAAATGAAATATAGAAATTACTAGAATAGTATTTACTGATAGTGATGGATAAGTCTATATAATATATTTTAATATCCTAAGAATTTTTTTTACTCAAATATCGAGCTATAAGCTCTTTGGTATATCTTAATAATTTTAAAAATATCTAGATGTAAAACAAAAATTAATTAATATTAATTGTAACAATTTCTTTAATTTTAATAAATATTATACCATATTTAATAAAATATTTATTTTTTATGTTTGAGTTTAAATATATACTATAAACATGTCTGATTTTGATATATATAAAAAAACAAGTAATCAATTATTTATTTTTAAAAAAATTCAAATAAGAACAGGGTGCTGAATCAATTTATATTAAAAAAATATTTAATCTTAATTAATTAATCTAAAAAATAAAAAAATTAACTATTGAATAAAAAATTATTTTGAGAAAATAATAAATAATTACACAGATAAAAGCATAATAAATAAATAAATAAATAAAACAAAAGAAAAGAGGTTGGACCGGGGCGACACCAGGCCTGAAAAGATGGCTCTAGACACAACTCACTCAGAAACATCAAGCAGCATAAAAGAAGGGTCCGAGGAAGTTGAAATCATGGCCACTTCTTTTCACAGCCCACAATGCATAGAGAGAGAGTTAGAGTGACGACGACAAGACTTGTCAGAATTGCTGCCTCCAAAATGATACTCCCTGTTGGAATCAAACCATAAGGTTTTCTGGGGTCTGAAAACAGGTCATCATTGCTCCTACAGCACAACCGGGAAGGACAAATGCCTCCTAATCAAGCTTATTCAAGTGTCACACAATCAGATGATCAAGCATCTAATCTTCTAACTAGATTCTTCTCCAAGCTGGCTGGGAGAAAAATCAAGGGTGCAATAAATTTGAAAACTTGGATGTTCTTGTGGCAATGCAAACAGCAGCCAAAGAATACAATAGCTAGCTTGAACAAAATTAAAGAAAGTGTCTTGCTAGTTAAAAGCCAATTAGCTAGGGCTTCGAAACAATAGAGAGCAGATCAGTGGCAGTTAAAGTTGTTAGGAAATCATGAAAATGTCAAAAAAAACTCAGGTATGAAACGAA